GTTCACGAACAGAGATATTCTCTTGCCCTGCGGGTTGATCATGAATGGTTCCCTTCCGGGTGGCCACACAAACCCGTAGTTGAAGTTCATACATCTCTTGCCTATGGAAAGCACCGACGGTGTGTCGTCCAACACATAAGCGTTGATCGGTTCCTCGAACGACTCAGTCTGGAAATTCGACACGAGATCGGTATCGGTGATTCCATTGGCTGTCTGAAATGATATGGGCTCTGGAGTCACGAGTGTTTCGAGACTGTGCTTCTCGATCTTCTTCTGAGATATGAGGTCATGACCACACCCAGTGTCCATGAGAAACTTGATCTTCTTCTTGAGGATGACTGGTTGAACCATGCATTTGAATAAGCCTTGATTGATGATCCGTTTGCTGTGTGCAGCATCGAGTTCGCGCTCAACGATGGAATCTTCACCGTCGTAGAACGAAACTTCTTCCACTCGAGACGTTCCTGGGATTCGTACGAATGAAACTCGATCTCCGCATTGATCATCATCATCGTCAACCATGTCTCTCATGATCTGTGCCCTCAATCTCGCTTTGTGCTTGGCGAATTCCAAGCCCACGGCGCGATCCTCATCATTGATAAACGCTTCCATGTCGACGTACTTCACCTTCCGCTCTTTGTCTTTCTTCGATCGTCTAGGACACGAAGAAATGAACTTCACGTCGTTGGCAAATGTCACATTGCGCTTTATCACTTTCCGGGTCGACGTAGTCGTTCCCGAGGATTCGTCATCTGTTGAACAATCCGAATCAGCGTCGCTGTCAACGGACGGACAATCTGACTCCTCCTCATCCTGCCTTGAAGATCGCTTCCATATAGCCGGAGCTGATGGATTCCACCTTCGACACAATCTGATGGCGGGTGCCGCAGGGAGTGCCTTGGCCTTGGCATTCGGCTTCGCTGGAGCTGCCTTCGCTTCGGATTTAGCTTTAGCTTTTGCCTTTGGTTCCGGAGCTGGGGTAGCTGCTGCCTCATGCTTGAAAGGGACAATTCTCTCTTGAGCACGAGCCTGTGTTCTTGAACGAGTAGCATATCCTGTTTCCTCCTCCTCCAGATGGACTTGGAGTTCTCGTCCTCGGCGTGAAGGGTCGCTCTGGAGTCTTCTTCGAGTGACTGAATGGACACTTATCGCCATTTCGACACCCTGCATCTGTGAAATGGAACTTGCAGCGGATTTGCTTCTTGCTTTTGTCACCTCTGTTGTCCGCTGACTCACTCCTCGTCTTCTTCTTGGGCTTTGGCTTGGTCTTCGCATGACTCTTCGCTTTGCTTTGAGGTAGTACAGGTGTTGCTTTATCCGGCTTGGTCGGCGAAGCCTTGACCTTTGCGGATGGAGCTGCGTTAGGCGTAGGTTTCTCGGGTACCTTGGCCGGTGCAGCAAGCAAATCCTTGCCCTCAAGCATCTGGCGCAAGCCAATTTGGGTCTGAGTGAGATTTGACTGTTCTCGTCTCCGCATGATAGTACGATCAATGATCTTCATCAGGTTGTCGTACGATCGGTCTTCATGATTGTAGGGCAAGTGTTCGTAATGCATACCCAACTCCATCTTCATTGCGGGCGAGTCCTTGATCTTGCTGTACAAGCAATCACGGAGAGCTGTTTTGGATGGAATGTCCTCTGGTCTCATCCGTCCCAGAACTTCCAACCACGTCTGCTTGAACGTATGAAGCTTGTTGTCGCCTTGGTACTGGAGCTTCACCAAATACTCAAGAGTGATGATCATGTCAAGACGATCATGCGTTCGAAAACTTTCATACATCATCGCAATGACTTGTCGTCCTTTGATGATCTTCACGTCAGGCCTGCTGATGTAATCGTTAGCCTTCCGGTTCACCTCAAGGTACAGGTCAGCTGATTTGTCACCACCGGCACGTAGCATTGCGACCATGGCGATCCCCAATTTGACGTCTATGCTCTTGAACTTCTTGTGTCCTGAATCATTCAATGCTTCGACATCAGGGAATGGGTTGAACGCTGGTGCCAGCCATAACATCCAGTCCTCATGATGTGGGTCGGCTGATGCCCCTAAGACATTGGCCGTGCACACGGATCGCCAGTTGTTGAGATGAGTGAGAGTAGGCCATGGAGGAACGGTCACTTTGTCGGCTTCCCTCCTGGAAATTCTCACCTCTGTGACTTCAGGATCCGCATCTCCATCAGGATCACGTGCATGCGAACCAGGATCCGATTCAGGTTTGCCTCCACCGCTTTTCTTCTTATCATCATCATCGTCAGGCGGGTCAGGAGGATCATACCCCGCGCCGGTTCCTTCATCGTGCTCTCCATCTTCGTTCTCGTCGCCACCCTCGTCACCGTCACCGTCTCCATTATCCTCCTGAATCGTTTCAGCGAATAACCTCCATTCATCACGATCAGCTCTGAGGCGTTGCTCGGCTTTCTGGGCCTTAAGTACTTCGCTTCGCAGATCGGCAATCTTCTCCTCGTACCGTTCCGCGACCTCTTTCTCGATCTGACGTCTTCTTGCTTCATGAATGGAATCGTCATAGGCAATAGGGGGACCGACGAGGTCGTTGCCCTTCGTAGATGCGGTAACACCGTCGATACCAACAGGTCTTGAGGAGCTGGCCGATGCTGTGGACTTCGATCCCAACATCCCGCGATCCCCCAAGAGTTCGCGTAGCTGTCGATCACGCACGGCTGCCGCATCACTTTTCCCATGAAATCCGCTTGGTATGCCGAACAAAGTGGCTGCACTAGGCGTGGAACGCGCAAGTGCTGGGCTGCTAATACCTGGCACGTAGTGCTCGGGCATTGCATCCGCCACGATTGGCATTGAACTGCGGCCAGTGAAGAAGTTTCCACCGGTGAATGGAATTCCATCCATCACAAGGTTCTTGTCCTTGTCCGATTCCGAGAATGCGAACTTCTCTTTGGCGACTGGACTAACTTGACTTGGGGACCGTATTTCAGGGGATCGTACCTCATCTCCTACGGAAAATGCAGGCATTACTTCCTTTCCTACGTGCTCCCAGCCAGACTCAGTAGTCCTCGAAGACATGGGCATGCTCGAAGGTCGCGTCGCTCCTCCTTGATTGGAGTTTCGCGCTGCCTCCAATTCGCTGCGTGTCCTCGCTTGAAGATCTTCTTGTGCTTTGAGCGTTTTCCTGAGTTCACTCAGCTCGTCGTGCAAGGTAGGCAATGATCGCCTTGCATGATCTTCATTCTGATGAAGTCGGTCCTCTGCTTCTTGCATCCTCTTCACAGCCATTTTGCGGTACTCTTCCTCTTCACCAAGACGTTCGCGAAGCCGAAATCGTTCTTGATCAATGGCTGCGCTGTTTCCAGCTAGCCCTTGGATCTCGTTCACAGCCCGCAACTCCTGGTTCTTGACCAAGTGGAATCGTTCCTGCATTGCTTGTAAGGCTTGTTCCGAACTTGCTGTGTTTGACCGGAGGACCAAGTTCTCTCTGGCGTGTTCATGAAGTTCATGAGTCAGACGCTCATACTCACGTGCCATAAGCTCACCATCGCCTTGCGCTCTTGCCTCCAACTGCACAAAGTTGGTGGCTGCCTCCGTGCGGAACACGTGTAGCTGTTGAGCTAACTCCTCGGCAACGGCATGTGCTTGACGTTGTTGAGCAGAGTTCTGTTCATCCATGCGAAACAAAGCTGTTTCATAGTCTCGCTTCATCTCCTGATTGACATTGTTGATGTGCCTCATGGCTAAGCATGCATGGTCACGTTGTCGTTCCAATTCTTCAATGCGAATTCCAGATCCTTCATCTTCTTGTTGCATCTCCTTGATCTTGTCCATCAGGGTCTGGACGATTCCTTCGTATTCTTGCACCTGACTGCGATAGTACATCTGCTGTGCAAGGTTCGATGCTTCGAACTGTTGCGAAATCGTCAATTCCTGATAGGCATTCGGACCATCAGCTATGGCAGGCGTGGCCACGGATGACGCATCACCACGTGCAGGAATCGTATCCAGAGTCATATCCAGATCGTCAGCATCGCGTGGTTGATTGGTAACCATCCGATTCCAAGTCATGGACTTGTCACGTCCACGAGTAGCCGAAGTCCTCGACCGTGCTGAAGAGCTTCTCGAAGATGATGGTCTTGACTTCTTTTCCAAGGTCTTGACTCCTTTGTCCTTGGCCCTGGACGTAGTCCGAGGTGCCTGAAAACCAGACGCTTCGGCCCGTCGTTCTGAAGCCTTGCCCGTCCTCGAACCTGTGGATGTCGGACGCGAAGGCGTAGATGCTCTTGGTAGACTCTTTGCTTTCCCCTTGGGAACTGCCTTTGCAATGGCAAGCGCAGAAGATTGACCTTTGTCATCTTCCGTGGAGCTATCAACGGATTGCACCACTGTGTCGTCAGCTGTTGATTCACCAACGGCTGGCGCTGCCACATCGGCACCGAAAGTCATTGTCGTATCTTGGCTTGATCCTGAGTTCATTGTGGTCGTAGTAGATCAAGTAGTCGTTGCTGTAGAAAGGCAGAGCCGCGTACGGCTGATAACCTGCGTGGGGGATTGATCTCGACTTGGTTGCTGCTCTCCCCACCAGAGCTGTAATGAATGTAGGTGTGGCTGGCTAGCACTCTCCACAGACTGGACCCTGTCTCTCCCTCTTACTTCCACACGTGCGATCCTATGCAGGCAGAACCGGCGGCCGTTCCTTTTGCACTCACTGCCGGCGGCGGTTCGTCTGTGCAACGGGATAGCTCTGATTGCTCAGGATAGAAGACACATATAGCACTTAGCTATGGGCATTGACTTGAGCCAAACGTTGCGTTGGCGGTCACATAGAAAGGTAAAGATGAGGGATGCGTAGCATGCCCCCTAGAGTCGAGGGACGCGTAGCGTGCCCCCTTCTCTTGCACTTTACACGGTCTTGCTCACAGCTCTTATAGTGACACCTTAGAACTTGACAAGGCATCGCAGTCCGTTCGCAATGATTATAACTATACTATACTCTCTATGCTATCCTGCAGCCTGCTTTTTGCAGCTGCGGCGCCGCCCTGCCACCGCTCATGTCAATAGCCCAGGATGTGGCCCTTTTCCTCAGATATCGGCCATGACTGGGAACATATAGGTTCAGGGTTGGTTTAGGGCCTTGGGTTTAGGGATGAGTCGGTCAGCCCCTTGTGCAGACCGCAGATCTCACTGCCTGGGGCTTGGGACATGAGCGTTGATCTAAATTCCTATATACTGAAAATGCGTTTTCGCGAAAATTGAATTTCCTTTCGCGGAACTTTCGCGAACCCATCGCCGTGCGCCTTTATCTATCTTCAACGTCAACAGCAGCATCAAAGCAATCCTCCATACAGTAAACACCTGGCTAAGAACTTGACTCCGACGCATTGAAAACCCAACGAAACCTGGACTCCAAAGCCGCAAATACCAGATCCCAGCTACAGTTTAGGTTTGGTGACCCTTAGGATTTAGGACTTAAGGCTTATGGGTTTTAGGGTTTAGGTACAGGGCCTTACCAGTAGCTTAGGGTTTAGGGTTTAGGGTTGAAGGTCTGTAGCAGTTGGATCTGTCTTGTAGACGTTGTACTACCTGTTTAACCAGCGAATATCCTTCGGCTCGAAATATATATTCAATGTGGAAACGACTGTCCATGTGTTTATCTACACATATATATATAAATACATGTATATGTATATGTATATGTATATGTATTTGTATATGTATTTGTATATGTACATGTATGTCCATGTGTGCAAAAAATATATGTATGCAGGTGTTGATTCTGTGTATGTACAACCGACAGATGATGTGCATATATATATACACACACACACGATCGGCACCCTTCCCCGAACAAATCTCATTAGGCGAACAACAACCTCGGAGGTTATCACAGGGCTTGCAGGGCGCAAGACTTGAGCGGAATCGGTTTATCATCCAGCAACAAGGACGTCAGGAACCCGATGGTCAGATGATCAATAAACAAGAATTGCCGACCCGCATAAATTGCAGAAGTTTCGTAAGATCCCGAGCAGACCAAGCTGACCCGGACGAACTCTGCCCGGCAACACTATGAAACATCGCGAAGCCTGAACTGCTCTGTACAGAGCAATCCATAAGTCAACTGAAATGAAGAACAACAGCAAAGACAAACAGCACGTTGTATTGCTGTAGCTACAGCTTCTGCTACTGCAACTACTAATACTACTAACTACTACTACTACTACTACCACCACCACCACCACCACCACCACCACCACCACCACCACCACCACCACCACCACCACCACCACCACCACCACCACCACCACCACCACCACCGCTACGTGCTACCCGCTACACGCTACCCATTATACTGCTATACCCGCTACCCGCTACCGCTATCGCGACTGCTACTGTTACTATAATGCTACTACCACCACCACAACGACTAGTACAACCACGACGACTCCTACTACTACTACTACTACGACGACAACGACGACGATGATCAAGTTCCTTAGCTCAGTGGTTAGAGCGATGGTCTTACGAGCCATAAGTCGCGGGCCCAAACCCCGCAGGAAACATGCTTCGTCGTCTTGGTGGCAAAGTGCAAGCTACTTAAGACTTCATTGCATTTAGGGTGCATTTGCATTCGTTTGCGGCTTGGCAGCATACCCAATAATCGTTGGTTTACGGGCGCCAATAACTAATTACTGCTACTACTACTACTACTACTACTACTACTACTACTACTGCAACTACTTCGCCTACTACTACGGCCACTACGGCTACGGCTCCGACTGCTACTTCTGAATGCACTGCTACCACTGGATGCCTTCCCCCGCCACAACCGAGCCTCGTCACTCAAGAGCTCGTATGCGGCCTGCAGCTGCTGGAACTGTTCCTGGATCAGAGAACGTCACACAGTTGATTTGCAACAGCATGGCGCAGATCCTATCAATACACGATACTCGGTGAATATACGCTGAGGATTGTTCAAACATCCAAGGTCTTTGTTTGGATATTTTAGGCTCATGTTGCAAACGGCGTTGAACAATGCGAATAATCTCAAAGCACCTGCACACTTCAAATGCTCCAGCCACCCAGGTGTCTGCCTACGAATGACAGTTACCATACACTAATTTAAATGATGGGATCCCCGCAGCAAACCCGAAACACCATCCCAAAACTTGAGCTCCGTAGTAGTAGTTAGTAGTAGTCCTAGTAGTAGTAGTAGTAGTAGTAGTAGTAGTAGTAGTAGTAGTAGTAGTAGTAGCAGTATTAGTAGTAGTAGTAGTAGTAGTAGTAGTAGTAGTAGTAGTAGTAGTAGTAGTAGTAGTAGTAGGAGTAGTAGTAGTAGTAGTCGTAGTAGTAGTAGTAGTAGTAGTAGTAGTGGTAGTGGTAGTGGTAGTGGTAGTGGTAGTGGTAGTGGTAGTGATAGTGGTAGTGGTAGTGGTAGTGGTAGGGGTACGGGTAGTGGTAGTGGTAGTGGTAGTGGTAGTGGTACTGGTAGTGGTAGTGGAAGTAGTAGTCGTGGTGGTAGTAGTAGCAGTAGTAGCAGTAGCAGTAGCAGTAGTAGAAACAGAAGTAGAAGTACAAGTAGAAGTAGACGTAGAAGTAGCAGCAGCAGCAGCAGAAGCAGTGAAAGAGTGTAGCAATAGCAAATGATGCCGTCGCAACATCATCAATGACTGATACAAGCAGGTTGTGTTCTGTCTACATGCAGATATAGAAGCTGTAGTAGTCGCAGAGCAGCGCCCACTCCTGTTGCTATGGCATACTGCCTTTTGTTCACAAGGAGCGCTCCTTTCTTCCGCCTTTGTCGGGGTGGAGCTTCATCGCGCGGCCTAAGTCACTTGGCTTGGGGTCGTTGTGTTGTGTTCTTTCTTCTCGGGGTGAGGCGTGTCTAAGGTTTTCAAGGCTGGGGAGGTTTGGGGGGGCTGAGGAATCAGGAATGAAGACTTGCACAGACATGGTGCAAGCTACCCGTTGCACTCTGCAGCTTGGCTTTCAGAGGTGGTACTGTCACCGCTAGGCGCGGTTATAGTATTTGTTGTTATAGCAGATTCATCTACGTAAACTATAGATTCCAAGTGCCATGAAGCTTTGGCACGAAGCACCAAGTCAGGTTGGAACAGAGTTGCGCATTGTGGATACCGGCTTGGCAATAAAAGCAGCAGTCGTCAGAACGGTAATCTTAGAAATACTAGCCACGATGGTCATGATAATCGTAACGACAACAACGAGAGTCGTAACAATGATGATCAAAGTAACGAAAACAAAAGACCAGATATGGTAAACATGTTTCGGTATAGCTTTGTAAGTTTCACAGTCTAGGACGCAGTATTGTAGCCTGTCCTATAGCAAGTCAGCATCGCTAGTAGGGTCGCAGTACCAGCATGTCCCAGCGTTGTGGTGGCGCCTGGGGGGGGGAGGGCGGGGCTGTTGGTGTGTGCTAGACCGAGAGGATATCAGCCCTGTGAGATGGACTCGCGCATGACAGCTCAACACGCTGGTGCGATATCATAGTCCCAGAAAAGTAAGATAGGGGCCTTAATAGTTAGAAATGTTTTTTGGGGGTCTATTCTCCCAGAATTCTGCTCTAATATCGTACTGGTAATTATCTGGGCCCCTAAACAAAACACACCACACCTTCAGAAGATCACGAGCCCCATGGCTCTAGCAGCTGTCCCTGTCTTTCCTCTCCGTACTGAGAAACTCAGACTTTGTGGGTTTAGGGTTTCTGTCGATGTCTCGTCTGGTCACAAAGCGTCGAGTTGGTAAGTCTGAAGTTTACCAGCTGTGGCAAGGGCTCAGGGTTCAGGGCTTTAGGAGCCTATGGCGAGCAATCTGCTATCTAGGCAAGAGTGTATGGTACGACGGAAATAAACAAACAACGCTTGATGATATAAATCCTGCATGACCTTAAGGACCCTAAACTATGGGAAATATGGTATATTCCTTATGATGGGTAATGCAGGATTTATCTCATCAACCGTATAGCCTCGGATTCTTCAGGCTTTCAGGTGCAGAGCCTCGAGTTGGTGCGGTTCGTCGGCTCGAGGCGCAAGGATGTCTATGGTGGCTTGAACCGAGGGTTTGGGGCATGAAATTCCTGTACCCTGTTCATGAACCTACTTTGGGTTACCGTGGTAAGGAGACCCTATTGTCTACCCTAGATCCCACGTATGGTACGGCAACTTAGCTTGAACTCCTTAACATGAGCCTAACTGAACCAAGCCCGAACCGTTGAACTCAAGCTCGAATCCTGGAGCCCCACATCACGACCCTGAGCCATCATAAGATTTAGGGTTTCAGGGAAAAGAAACTGAAACGTAAACCCTCGAGTCTCTCTGCTGCCGCCCGACTTCTAAAGGCCGCGTCTAGCTCAGCCTGCGTCGCAGCTCGCCCGACGCCCAGCACCGCCTGCAAAACGGGGAGGGGGGCAGTGTGAAGTATAAAGTATGAAGGCAGGTTCTGGGATGATTCGATATCTTTCGTGTAGTCCACACGTCGCTCTCAGGAGCTGGTATTTTGCAGGGAAGCGATCCCTTCCCTGTCAGTACATGTCTGGCATTGGGGCAGGGATCTGTTATTGTTTAGAAGGGGCCCCCACCCTGTAATAGTGGTATAATAGGAATATGATAGGGCCCTAATATAATCATTATAGTCACTATTACAGGGTGGGGGCAGCTTCTAAGTTATTGTTATTGCCGCCACGGTGCGAACAAGTTCGAGCTGCATGGCCTTGGACAGCTTCAGCTGGTAAACCAAATGGAACTTATACAGAGAAAAACGCTCGAAGACATGGACAACTACCCTCGATTACGCTTGAACCCACTGCAAAACATCAAAACAACATCTGCTAAGCAAGCATGTACAGTCATCATGTTCACGAAATCCTTGCACAATCTTGCCGAAACCAGGAACCCTTATGACCTCAATCCTGAGCCCTAACGATATTCAAAATTCAGACCCAAGGGCAAACAGCATTGCACCGTGGTGCGGGCTGGGCATGAACTTGGAGGATCATGGGACTTAGTAAGTAAGGTTATAAGTACCTTAAGTGGGGTTATCAGTATAGTTACCCTAATTACAACCCTAGTTACTAAGTCCCATGATCCTTTAAGTACCTGAACACTCAGTCGATCTACTTCTCTAATCCTCTGGCCCAACCACACACGTCAAACACCAAGCCCAAAACCCAGAAATCGTCAAACCCCAGGGCATGAACCGCGATCCCTGAGCCAAGCATCAACTTCGGTGGGCTTAAATGCGGTTCAGGGTTAGTGTTTAAGGTTAGGTTGCAGGCCCTACGAGCTCCAGATGCAAAAGCCCGAGCCACTCATGCAGAGTGCTGTCACTCGCCCGCGGCTCGATGGCGCTGGCCGGCCGACGCCGTGGCGGCATCACGTGCAGATGCTACTTTCCCGTAGAAAGATGCTCCAATCTGCTAGAATGATGTCTATTGTTACAGGCTTGCACGGCGGTTGCAGACTCTTCGTGGGTTCTTGGGCATAGAGGTTGGATTTGTGAGGGTTTGATGTTCGGGGCCTGGGGCGGACAGGGAACTGAATGGTTGTCATGTGCACGTTTCCGTGAACGGAAGCATCGCCTCTGCAATGCCGGCGGTCGCAAGCACAAACCAGTTTCTCAAAATGGGTGACTGAAGGATAGGACACTAGCGACAAGGTTCACGAAGAGCCCCACTCCACCTTCGTTCCGAACTTCGTGCGGCAAAACTAGCTAACCCATTGGTGGTGGAAGACCATCAAAAAGTCAAGGTAGGAATCTGCAAGTTTTCGACAGGTTTCGCGTAGGAAACATGTAGGCTCGAGTGTTCATCGTGGCACAGATAAGTTCAAGAACTGTGCTGCACGGTTGTTGCTACCACCAAAGACTTCAGGTACCTCCAATCGAAAATTCTTAGTCCCCCGATCCCGAAACACCCTATAACCCTACATATTTCAATCTCGGAAAAAACCCAGACCGTAAAGCCGAATATGTTTGTAAGGCATAAAACCCCTGTGAGTAAAAAGAGTAGAACCCCACAGTCCTCCAATTGAGATATTCGAGACTCTTCTTATTTCCCACAAATACAACAAGGAACTCCAAGGAATACCGTTTCAAACAGCTGGGGCCGATCGCCGGGCTAGGGACAGCTAGGGGGGCTGAAGCTATTGCCGGGGGTTCTCTAAATTAGGATCATTGTTCTTGGTGCCCAAAATCGTACGGCATATAAAATGGACAGTGACCATAATTTAGAGAACTACCATTTTGTGGCGCGTTCAGATATCGGGATTGGGACTGGTCAAATGGTGCATGTGCAGCAAGCCCGGGTTCCCAAGGTCGACATGGACAACTACTACTACTACTACTACTACTACTACTACTACTACTACTACTACTACTACTACTACTACTACTACTACTACGACTACGACTACGACTACGACTACGACTACGACTACGACGACGACGACGACGAGGACGACGACGACGACTGCTACTACTGCTACTGCTGCTAACAATGATAATAAGAATAATAAGAACAATAACAACAGTTGAGAATAAGAATAACAACCAATTGTCATAACAATAACCGTAATCATAATAATCACCATCATAATAAGAATAAAACTAGTACTGTAATTAATACTCAGAATATAGATAGCATCAAACAACAGTAACAGTTCATGGTGATAACGATAACAACAGTAACAACTGTTTTAATGATGCTAATAACGATAATGGTGGTAACTATCCTAATGACCGTAATTAATATTCAAAACAGCAATGATAGAGTCAATAACGGTAGCCGTACCATTTGCGCTAACAGCACTAATAATTATCTTCATCATAAACGTAGTGATGTGGGGTTGCCGTCGGGGTTGCGAATGCGCTGGCGTGGCCGCGCGACAGCGACAAGGGGGAAGAAAACAACAATCTGCTGCCGAGGCACATGTTCAAGTCCGGGTCCCGGTACTTGTCTGAATCTTTCTGGTAGAATATCTGGTCGAGGAACCGGCTGCACAGCCTTGCAGCATTTCACCGTCCAGAAGCGCTTAGCTACCACGAATGTCATGTTTGGCGAGGCTGCCTACAAGTCGTATTTAGGGGCAAAAAAAACAACATAAACTAATAAACTCTGGTTTCGGGACGAATCGGCAAGACATCAACACAGAAACCAACAAGTGAAGGTAACAAGGGCACCGGATGTGCAGTGTGTGCAGGTCGAAGGCAAATTTACAGGCAAGAGTTGAATCCATGTTTGGCATACAGCTACCGTTATGGTTATACACCTCCCAAAAGCAGTGTCGTAGCACTCGATGGAAAGATCTAGTGCTGAACAACGCTGTCCATATTCTTTTCCGTGATGCCGGAAAATTTCCGTCCGGAGAAATCAGCACCTAAGAAAGTTTATGTGCCTGCACAAACAAGGCAAAGTACTCTTCCCAAAAAAAAGTATCAAACTTTTTGGCTCGGGAAGCGCGGGCTTCGTGTGGGGATTTCCGCGGACTTGAAAAAGTTTATGTGGGTCGCAAAAACACAGAAAACAACACTTCTTTAAAAAGGAAGCACTTGCGCCGACTGTATATGCAGCGAGAAGGCCTGTCTGTTACAACCTCTCCTCGCGAGTGGAATATGCTACTATTCCCCAAGCTACGATCTATCCGTGCCCGCACTGCACCCATGGACCTGTAAACTGGCAGGGGCCTGCCTTCTGGCTACCTGTCCCTACTATTTCGTCCCAATACCGAAAGTTTAAGTTTACATGGTGTTTTTGCTCTTGAGTATTGTCGCTGTCGCTGGAGTTGCCAGTTGTGACAGAGTGGTCGTGCTGGTCGTGGTGGTGGCGTCCACAAACCGGGCAACCCGATGAACACAATACCAGGGCCACCTCGTACTTGGAGGGTCATGGGACTTAGTAAGTAAGGTTATAAGTACCTTAATTGGGTTTATAAGTATAGTTACCCTAATTATAACCCTAGTTACTAAGTCCCATGATCCTTTAAGTAGAACCCACAACCTAAAGACCGCATCGACCCTCACCTCACGAAGAAGAGAAGGATGTCTGCAGGCGGCCCATCAAACTCCTGGGTCGAGACGTTCGGCCACTGCTCTGCGCTGAGGACTCACACTTCCTATCGGGCTCCGAGTCACTTTGAGCACCTAAACCCTCACCCTAATCCCTAAACCCCTAAATCCTAAACCCCTAAGGCCCTAAACCCCTAACCACACACGCACTGAACCCCAGGAAGCCCGGTCAGTGAGTGTCCTCAGGCGGCGCCAGACTTGCCAATTCCTCAGCCTGTTGTCACAGCTTTGGATTCTGAGTTGTTGAGTTCAGAAGCCCCAAAAAAGTGTACACTTTCAGCTTTATAGTGGGTAGTATTATACCAAAAAGTGTAAAGTGTATCCACTCAGCCACTAAGTTTGGATTGCTGCATTTAGTCTACGGCCCTTCAGGATTTCAAAGGGGTAATTAAAGGAGGGACCCTTAATGGGGACTCCTACCCTACAATGGGCTATATAATGGGTATAGAATATTTATACTAAGGGTATATACCTCGGGGTCCTTGTTAAGGGTCCCCGCTTTTACCCTTGGATCTACGGCCCTTCAGGATTATGACATCCAGCCATGTACCCGTATTGCAGCCACACCTCGCTTGAATCATGTCCGACGCTTCTTGAGGTTTACTCCAGCTTCTAGATACTTTAAGTAGTCAGGTCCTTCGAAAGTATGGAGCATCGACCCAGCATTTACGGCTTGAGGGGCTTCAAAGCCCATTGGTTGAGGCTGTCGGGCTCAAGAGTTTTTAAGAGTTTAGGGTTCAGGGGTTCAGGGGTTTAGGGGCTTAGGATTTAAGGGTTCGATTGCAACCGAAACTCCAAGACTGCAATCCACGGTTCTATGTCGGGTAACCATAATTACAACCCATAGTTAGTAGGGGACTTATCACCCCACTTATAACTGCGCACGAACCTCCAAGTAGGGTTCAGGGAAGAGCCTTGAACAGTTGGATGCAGCTATGAGTGTGCTCAACACGTCCATGGTGCCACACGAAAACCACCGTTTGCCCAAGATCAAAAAGCTGAAGGCCCAAGCATTCGAGCTTCAACTTAGAATTTAAACGCCCCAACTCCGAACCTCCAAAACCGAAGCCCTAAACCCCGATCTAAACACCGAAATTCCTGGACTCTGAACCTCGGAAAGCTCAATCGAAACCAAAAACCTGAGCCTCCAACAAGGAAGCCTTCAAGCAAAAACCTTACGGAACCCTTCTACATTAAAGCTTAGTGAATGGATTGAAAAACACGTCAAACAACCGAGGTATAGGTTTTCTTGGACACGACACGGCGGCGGGAGGGGGGCGCGGGACGCGCGACACGGGATGCGGGACGACGCACGAGAAGTAGCCGCATATGAAAAACCGTGCAAAGACCTTGACAGCAGCCTGGTGAAGCCCTTTAGACATCTGACACATCGACATAATCCTTACAAACACCCCAAATAAAACGAAAGACACCGCCTACCAGAAAAGCCGCCGCAAAGGAATGTAGAAGAGCACCCTAGAAACGTGACAGAAGCAGTTCAGCAGATATCGTCAACTAAGACCCAAACCCTAAACCCTAAAGCAATAATATCTTGACTCTTAATCCCGAACCCCAAACCCCTATAAACCCTTTCTTGGAGGATCGTGGGACTTAGTAAGTAAGGTTATAAGTACCTTAATGAGGGTTAAAAGTATAGTTACCCTAGCTACAACCCTAGTTTGATCCTTTAAGTAGAATCTTCACTCCTAAACCCTAAACCCCCATCCTAAGCGCAGATGTGGCCTGGTCCAGCAAGGCGCAAAATGGGTGTGCAATCGCACCGAGACCCTTCTCCACCTCCGCGGGGTTTAAGGTTTTTAGGTCTGCTTGGAGGTTCATGGGTAGTTAGATGTGGGGGTTCGTCCCCTGATATGCGTTATAATTATGGTTACCCTACTTATAGTGGGGTTTAGGGTTTTAGGTTTGGGGTTGAGGGTTGTTAGTTCAAGAATCTACCTTTTTAGGGTTCCTTAGTTCCTTGTAATGAGTTCATTGTCTAAGTTTATACGTCCTTGAAAAGGACGGCAGCTTACCAGCAAACCTCATTGGGCATGACCTGTGCAGCTCGAATACCATCTACTTTTCGTACGGCCAACGTCGCAGCTTTTTTCCGGTACGCTCGCGGAGACAAGAACGAGGTACTCAGTACCTTAACCCTAGATGGCATACCTATTTAAGCTATAAACAAACCATTACCATGATAATTAAACCTAAACTGTAGATTTTCCGGGCCTAAATAACAGGCGATTTAAATCATGCTTCTGCTCCTGGCAACCCCAATGGCGCCATGCTTGCCCTAGACCCAAAACCCTGAAACCCCAAACCCTGTGCCTCGTTGTGAAGAAGGCCAAATGCAGCGCCCAGCTTCGAGCCCCTCTCCTTGAAAAGCTTCGTGGGGTTTCACAAGGGCTTAGGGCTTGCAGGGCATAGGGCTTAGGGGTTTCATACCCCTAAACCCTAAACCCTAAACGCTAAACCCCTAAACCCTAAGGGTTCATAAGGGTTTCGGTGAGGTGTTGTGCGGCTCGTGAAATCTTTTCAGCCTTCTGGGTTGCAGTGTCAGGTTCTAGGATGCCCAGTAACCTAGGAATAAAAAGGGCTCCCTTTTTGGTATTGGGCAACTGTACAAGGAACCTAGGACTACAAAAAGGGATTAGGGGTACTACTGGGCATCCTAGGGTTCGGGCAAGCCGCCCAAGCCTTGAAAACCGAAGCATGAGACTGGTCCATTCAACCCTGAGCCCTAAAAGAAGGGGCCTCAATAATTAGAATAAGGCTTTGGGGCCCATTATACTATACACATAATAAGGACCATAGTTTATCTTAGGGCCCCTATATTACGCCCTACATCCAAAACCCTATACCCTAACGCCCGAAGTCTGCAGCTCAATAGACGGGGGCCCTTCGTTCCATTTTTTCATAGCCCACATGGGAGTTTCCGAAAATAGGGGTACCTCATTTTGGAGTCCTTATAATAAGGATCCTACTATTTAGGGTGCTATATTAGGGTCCCCTATTGTCGGAAACCCCCTCTTAAGGGACTTATAAACCCATATAACACGACCCCATGAACCTCCAAGTGCAGCTCAAAAGGTCTATACTATACCTATAATAATACGGAAGCCCCCCAAATAGTACCCCATGCACTTAGTCTGCAGCCCAAAAGTCAGGAGCTTCCTAACATAGTTAGGCCCCTATACGAAGCCCCAAATCCTAAACCCTAAACCCTAAGTCAGAAATCCCAAACCCTAAGCCACAACTCCCAAACCCCAAGTCCTAAACAAGTCCTAAACCCTACACCCGAAGTCCTAGACCCTAAACCCTGAGTCTGCAGCCCAATGACGGGAGCTTGCTCCACGGGGGGCGGGTTCCGGTCATCCACCCAGGTGGCCGGCTCTAACATCGCTGCCCAAAGAAGCTGCTGCACAGACCTGCAGAATACGTTTGATGATACAGATCCAGGCATTACCCATGATGACCCTAGACCATGGGAATTATGATTCCTTATTATGGGCAGGTAATGCAGGATTTACATCATCAACCGTAGGACTCCAGTTTCGGGTCTACTGTTCAAAAGGTTAAGAACAGGGTTAGGGTTTACGGGTTTAGGGGCGTTTAATGTACTCTAGGGTCACTACCAGGGTTAATTACTCGAATTGATTAGTACAAGGGTTCAGTGTAGAAGCCTGTAGAATTGGTAACACTATTCCTTCGGACTGCTTCTCATAATCATACTACAAACTATCCCCAAATCCTATTGTGTTTGTTGACGCCTGTATCTGGGGGTTTAGGGCAGGATATGTCCGGAAGAATGGGTGATGCTTGTGCTCTAGGTGTAGACCCTACTGCCATGAGGTTCCTAAGCCACGGATCGCACGTGACGGGAAGCTTCAGTACATCTCCAGATGCACTTTGCTGTATCCCTGTTTCGAATCCCTGTCAACACACTGTTGTCGAATACACGGCTTCATGACAATGCTGCACCATTGTAGTCTTGGTACTGTCGCCGTAGTATGCATATGTATATGTGTGTGTATATAAATATATGTATACATATATACATATACATATATATATATATATATATATATAGGTATTACTGTAGTAGTGATCGAGCCAGAACATGAGGCCTGAAACTGCCAACTCAAGACTTTAGCACTCAACCCTAATTAAATGTAAGCTTGAAGCCTTCAACTAACAAAACCCCAAACCCAACATGTCAAAACCACCCAATGCCGCCAACGCCAGAATCCCAGAACCCTAAACCCTTATAAACCCTAGACCGCTTTAGGTGCCCAAGCGGCGTCTGCTTGAGTGCATGGAGGCGATCGGCCGCCAGGAAGTGGAGGAGCAAAGGCACTCGGAGGTAGGGCACCGTGAGGCTGCTCAACACCTGGGTGTGCGGTGGGGCTTAGGGTTTAGGGCTCCTTAAAGGGATCTATAAGGATTATTACTATAAGGGTTACTATATAAGGGTTACTATGAGGGTGTAGGGTTTAGGGTGTAGATTAGGCTTTAGCGTTTAGGGTTTAGGGGCTTTAGAGTTTTGTGGGATGGATTTATCGGGTGTCTACTATACCGCTTGTATGGGATTTATGGAGTTCTATTGGGTTTACAGGGGGTTTTATGATGCTTTACTGTGCTTTCTCAAGTTTTTCAAGGCTCCATCGTGTAGTAAACGACCCGAGGATGCTAAGGGTCCTTAAAGACTTGAGACTGTTTCTGAGGGGCTGAGTATGCTAGCCGCCAAGAAAGGCTAACTTTCAAAAAATAGTAGGATTATATAAACTCCGAAGGGTTAAAGCTTACCTACTCAGGCCCCCAGGTTTGGGGTTTTACATAAAGGGTTCCTTTCACGGTTCCTTTGAGGGTGGGTTTGGGTTTCAGGCATTGAGCACAAGTTCTTCAAAGGGCTTTCTACAGAGATCTAAAAGGGTTTTGAAGGCCTCTTTTAATCGCGGATTGAAAAGGCCATTTGCGGGTTTTAAGGGTGGAAAGAAAGTCTTCCCGTCGTATAGGGATCATCCCTATACCCACATAGAGCCCTGATGGAGACCTGTACCCATTCCCTTTTACCCTCGAGGGAACCCTACATCCTCCCGCAAGAACCCGCTGAACGTCATAATGATGCCCATACACTACCCTGAGGCCCCAAAGTAGTTCCTTTTGGGATCATGTTCAGAATCCTATAAGGTAATCCCAAAAAGGAACTACTTTGGGAGTTTCCAAAAATAGGGGACCCCAATATAGCACCCTAAATAGTAGGATCCTTACCATAAGGACCCTAAAATAAGGGGCCCCTGCTTTTCGGAAACTCCCAATTACTGAAGCCCCCCGAAACACATACCGCCCTGAGGCCGCCGGCATGCTCAGCCTCTTCTTGTGCGAAGGCCTGCGTGTCGGCAAGGTGACGGGTCTAGGGTTTGGGGTATGATTTAGGATCTATATAGGGTTCAGGTTCAGGGGAGGACTTCGGTGTGTAACCTTGTTTGTTTGCTTTAATGGCTCTTTTTGAATGCTTAGACTCCATGATTACACATGTTCGACCACTTTCCACGACGTCAAGCCTGCAAGCTATGTTGAATCAGGGAGACGCCAGTCGGGCGTAAGGGTCGATTTTAGTAAGAGCTCTTTGAAGCGCGCAGGATTTAAGCCGTAAGACCTTCGGCTTATTTTGTTTTAGGTGTTGCTTCTACGGTTCAAAGAGCCAGGATTGAAGTTAAGTTCCCCCTACCCCAAAAAAAAACCTAAAACCACCAAGGGCCCTATTTCTAGGAAGCTTTTTTGTGCAAGCCCTCAAATATCCACACTGGGTCACGGAAAGAAGCCCCCCAAACCAGGAATTCAAACCCTAAACCTGTAAAAACCTAAAACCACCAAGAACTTAAACTCTAAATCCAAAGCGACATCCAATTCCGGAAAAAAAAAAGAAATATCTTTTAAGAAGGAGCTCCAGCGCATTAGGGCTCGGGGGTTTAAATCGAAATCCCCAAAAAGAATCCTGCCGGAGTTTCGGGTTTAGGGGTTTAGGGGTGTGGGTGGCTTCAGGGTTTAGGGGTTTCAAGGGTTTAAAGGGTTTAGGGGTTCAGGTGTTTAGGGGTTCAGGGTTCAGGGTTTAGCGGCTTCGGGGTTTAAGGGGTTCAGGGGTTTAGGGTTTGAGGGGTTTAGGGGATTAGGGGTTTAGGATTTAGGGCTTTAGGGGTTTAGGGTTACAGGTTTAGGCTTTATGGGTTTCGGGTTTAGGGTGTAGGGTTTAGGGTTTCAGGTTTAGGGTGCCCCAAACGGCCATTGCTGGCCCTAAACCCTAAACCCCACGACCTAAGCCTTAAAGCCTACAGCACTAAACCCTGCACCCTTAACCCCTAAGCTCTGCAATTAAAGCCCGAAGCCCTAAACCACTAAACCCTAACAAACCCTGACCCAAACCCCAGGCAGGCCTTCCCGAAGTCTGGAAGCGTCGGGGCGTGGATCACGTCGTCTTCGCTGTTCGCGCCCTGACATTGTTTGTTTGTTTGTGTAAACCTGTATGTCTTTCATACTTCAATACGGAAAATGCTGCAAACAAGTTTTTCGTTCATACTTCAATAAGTACAGAGAAGCTGAACCTTCTCGATCTTTGGGGTTGTGGGGCTTGGCGTCTTGAGTCTAGAGGGTGTCTAATACAAACACTCAAGATTCACGTTTCTGGGTTCTTGTTAAGAATTTTGTTTAAGCTACCATAATAAAGAAACCGTAGTGTTTACTATAGATGCGAGTTATGGTAACTTAAAGTACATTCCTTAGCAAGAAAAGGGGGTTTTGCTTGTAGGTGGCCTGCAGACCTCAGAATGACGACTTGTTAGGGTTCAGGGCTTGGGGTGTAGTGGGGTGGTTTAGTGGAGTTCGGAATTTAAGGGAAAAACCCGCAATCATAAATCCCAAAGCGGAGCATCCACAAAGCCAAGCCCTGACATTCACCCGGGAGCCTTTCTTGTCAGCCGGTAAACCCTGAAACCGCAGAGCCCCAAAGCGCCGAAGTCCTCAGCCCTGGAGCCCCTCTCAACCCTGCAAAACCCGGAAAAAAACCCCTAAAACTCGAGGAAAATGTAAGCCTACTTCGAGGATCATGGGACTTAGTAAGTAAGGTTATAAGTACCCTAATTGGGGTTATAAGTAGTATAGTTGCCCCAATTATACCCCAGATACTAAGTCCCCTGATCCCTTAAGTAGCCCAGGGCCTTGAGCCCTGCCGCGTTGAGGTCTGCACCGCTGGCAGCCACGAAGCCTTTGAATGGATTGAGGATTGAAGGGTGGGAGTTTTCTGCCACAGCTACTATCGGATGTCCGAGCCAATAACACCGAAAATGGCAAAACCCAAGCCACAAATCAGCAAAAGGAGTCGTTTGGGGTCTTGGATTCCTCGGACCAGAGCAAACGATCAAAAGGGTTCCTTTTTCGGAAGGGTGGCTGCAGGCAAGAACTCAAGACTCGATGTAGTGTTGATAGTATTTTATTGGTTGGGGTGTCGGATCTTGGGCAAGGGCTGACGCAGGTTCTTTGGATGGCTTAGACCCACAAGGGATTGAAGCTTCAAATCTGGGGCTTGGGCACAGTTGCTGTTGTGTAAGTAGGGGCTGCAGATATCTTGTGTTTCAGTGAAATATGATATGCCTGATATGCTCTACCTGAACTTAGCCCCGTAGCAAAATTATGCAAAAACTGCTTCTTCGGAGATTTTAATGCCGCAAACTTTCAAGCTATTTCTATGCACCTCGATGCTTCAGATTGCCCCCAGAAGAACTCTAAACGGAGGGTGCCTTTGCTCAACATGTCGAACTTGATGTTGAAGGCCCCAATCTGAGCCTCCCAGGCGAACTTTGCATCCGAGCAGGCAGCAGGGCTTTTGGGCGGATATGGGAGTTTCCGAAAATAGGGGGCCCTAGGGTTCCTTTAAAGGGTTCCTTAAAGGGATTTATAAGGGTTCTATAATTCTATAAAGGGTTGAGGGATTAGGGTTTAGGGAGATTCCGAAAATAGGGGACCCTTATATAGCACCCCAAATAGTAGGATCCATATTATAAGAGCCCCAAAATAGGGTACCCCTATGTTAAGGAACCCCCTTTGGCAGGTCTCAGGGTTTAGGAGTTAGGATTCGGTTTAGAGTCTGCATGGGGCTGTGGGTTTTAGGGATCAGGGTTTAGGGCTTAGGGTTAAAGGCTTAGGGTTTAGGAGCTACGTAGCGCTTGGGGATGGGATGCTTCAGAGTCTACAGTTGAGGTTGCTGTGGAAGTCCTTGTGGTTTTGATAGCTTCAAGGAGGTTACCTGCCAGGCTTTCGTGCTTGTACGGCTTGTTGAAATAAACCCTAAACCCTAAACCCTAAACCCTAAACCCAACCGGGGATGAGCTTCAGGACTCTGTGGCACTGAGAGCCTTCACTTCTCCCACTCGCCAGGCCCTGGATCTGAAACCCCAGGACCATCGGTTTAGGGTTTAGGGTTTAGGGTTTAGGGTTGCGCAAGTACAAAACAAGCACATGGCAACTAGAACCCGACGAAATCTACCCTCGACCCTAAATCCGAAGCCCTAAACCGCCAAACCCCCGAACCTCTATACCCTAAACCCCCGAACCCCTCAACCCTAAACTCCTAAACTCCTAAACCCCTACAGTAGAAGCCAGAAAGTTGGAATATGATTATCCTAACCCTTCTATGGTACATTATAGGGGATCCTACCATTAATCCATATTCCAACTTTCTGGAGTTCCCTGTAGGGCCTGAACCCTTACTCCCCCAAGATCCCCTCTGCCTTCAGGATCTCGCAGGGCTGGCAGTAGCCGATGGACCAGCGAATCTGCGCGTCTTTGGCGTTCCAGACGCCCTTGAACTGCCTCTCAACACTTGGAGGTCCCTAAGGGATCTATAGGGATTCTGTTCGGGTATAGGGTTTAGGGCCTACTTGCAGGTTCATGGGTAGTTATAAGTGGGGTTATAAGTCCCCTGATATGGGTCATAATTATGGTTAAGTACCCTACTTAAAAACCACTTATTAGATAGTCAAACAAAAGAGCAGTGAAACATTTGCCCAAAAATACCACCAGTCTTGACGAAAGCAGGAATAGTGGCAGCGGCAAGAGTTGTGTACGATTTGTAGGCAATTACTAGCATCACAACCTAAACAGTGTTCAGTAGTACGACTACGGCATTCGTAGACATACCCTGAACCCTCTCCAAACAGGGAAACACTGAAGTCCGGGAGCGTGAGGGCATGGGTTTAAGACGTGCAGGGTCCAAGGCCGTACTTGAATATCTGGTTCCATATTCGAAACACATTGCAAGCGCACCTGCATTTGGGATCCAAGCAGATGTACTTGCACCAGACCTTGGCAGCAGTTCGACGACGACTTAAGGTTGTAGGTTCCCGGCCACGCTGGCAACTGGTCGCTCTCATCCCTAAACCCTAAACCCTCGTACCCCGCCCAGTCTTCACCTCAAAGCCGTGGTCAAGCTGGGAACACAAACACGCTAAATGCTAAGCAACCTCGAGATTTCTTGGTATTGAAGAATGAAACAATTCCACACTGTAATCCATTATTATTACGATTCTGATTGTGTATAGCTACCACTATTACTACATGATTGCGATAATACCGTGATGACGATGATGAAGATGAGGCTCTCTTTCACTCTTGATATTATTACTCCTATGGTCCTATTTCTGTTATTGTTAAAGTTATGGTTGTTATTCGAATTATTATTGTGATATAATGCTATTGGTATTGTTATTACTACTGATATTCGGACTACATACTACATAATACTACTACTACTACTACTACTACTACTACTACTACTACTACTACTACTACTACTACTACTGCTACTACTACTACTACTACTACTACTACTACTACTACTCCTGCTACTCCTGCTACTCCTGCTACTACTACTTCTACTACTGCTGCTACTGCTACTGCTACTACTACTACTGCTGCTGCTGCTGCTACTACTACTACTACTACTACTACTACTACTACTACTACTACTACTACTACTACTACTACTACTACTACTACTACTACTACTGTTAGTATCTTTTTGGGGACACGCACACAATTGCGGATTCTAGGCTTGGAAACTGAGAACCACGCTTCGAGCTTAATGTCACATCAAAGGATTTAAGGCTTAGAGTTATGGTTCACGGCCGGTGGAGGGTTTACGGATACGGTTTAGGGTTAGGGTTTAGCGCTTGGATTGCGGTGTAGGGCTTAGGGTTTAGGTTACGGTTTAGGGTATGGGGTAAGGGATTCGGTTAAGGGTTCCGGCCGAAGCTGAAGCTCAAACCCACCTCAGACGTCTCTTGAAGTCCTATGTTTAATCAGCACATACAACCCAAACTTTCCGCCACGGGGTCCTTAAACAATTCCTTTGGGGGTTATGCTTCCTATAAGCCTATCACCGTGTTTTTTGTTACAAGGCATGCCTAACATCAAACTAAGGTTCCACGCAGACAGGTGGGTTCAGGATCCCCGTCTTAAAAAGATCTGGCTGAACGTCAAAGAAGCGCCACACTAAACCAGCCCTCATTGTAATAAGGGTTAATTACTATATTTAGTTGTAACAAAGGATCTAAGGGTTGCTATAGTAAGGCTTCTTGAAGCCTCCTCACATCGAAAACCCTTCACCCGAAACCTCGAAACGGCTGCGAAGTCACCACGAGGTCGCGCCACCAGTAGAACTCTGGAGCCTTCTGCCTTCGGGCAATATAGCTTCAAGGCTTCAGAGATTAGGTTTTTCTTGGTTTTGAACTCTTTTTCTGCGTAGCCCGAAGGAGATTAGGGTTCATGTTAAGGGTTTGGTCCAGGGCTTCTGGGGTTGAGGGTTATAACAGGATTCGATGAGGGTTCCCTGAGGTTCGGCTATTACGGTTGGGGGGGGGGGGGGGGGCAGACCCATCCTAGCACAGGCTTTCGGGGATCGACTTCTTGGTTTCTGATCTCTACGGTTTAGGGTTTAGGATCAACTTGAAATTAGAAGGAAGCCATAAACCCTCTTAGCCTGAACTCCGACTCTCCTGATCTCCCTGGTTCTTAGTCGGGAATAGGGGAACGGGTCAAGGGACTACTCCAAGGGACTATGATAGGGACCCATTCCCTTAGAACCAGGGAGCAATAGAAAGGCCTAGTTCGGAAACAGGGACTGCCGGGTTTCTAGACTAGGTGTCGAGTTCAACAGTCCCCAAACTTGTTCATAACTAAGGCCCTATATTGAGCAATAAGTTGAATTTTAAGATTATCTCAAGTCGACAACTAGTTTCCTAGTATCACTTGGTTTACTCAGGATTTCATATTGAAGCAGCCTTGACACCTCAAGCCCTAAAAATCCTGAACCCGAAACTCCATACCCTGAACCCTAAACCTCACATAACCAAAGGCGGGACCTGATTGGGCCGCTGCCGTTCAACGCCCAACCAAAAGGCACCGTCCACTTAGGCCAGTCCTGCAGTGTGGGTAGTTCTCTAAATGTAGTGTCCCTTTCAGGCGTCCTTACAGGGATTTATAGTGGGTTTTTATAGGGTTCCTTTAGGGGTATTATAAGGGTGGTTCTCTAAATTTGGGGGCCCTGTTCAGGTCCCCCCAAATAGTACGGCAAGCTTGTAACAAAGGATCCCAAACGCAACCTTAGGTTGGAGAACTACCCATGTGCTTGCAGCTGGGTTTAGGGCTTGGGATCGCTATGTACAGAATCGGGCGACATAGCAAGTAAGTTTGCCCGGACCCCAACAGTATGTAGAACAATAGCCTTTTATAGGCTTTGGGCCATTATTTTACCTTTGGGGGGTCTAGGTGGTAGTACCATGTTTCACTTGGGCTTGGGTGCAATGAGTGCCCCACACGAACGGGGAAGGCTTGAGAGCCCAGCATGCCCGTTCTTGCTATGCATCAAGAACATGCAACAAACCGGCATACAAAGAACTAGATAAACAGGCATCTCAGAAATAAATAAAAGTATGCTTATAACCTTGAGGAAAATTGTATAACCCTGCTGTCCTCGCTGTGACCGGGCGGGAGTTCGCTCCCCGGGATTCTCAGCACCTTCTTGACCAGGTCGGTCACGAGCTGCTGCCTTTGGCGGGGACTCAAAGCTCAATGACACACACACACGCACACACACCCTAAACCCTAAACCTAAACCCCGAAAGCTAAACCCTAAACCCCACCTCCCGCGCCCCGATCCCCGCTGCCCTCCCATGTTTGGAGGGCCATGGGACTCAGTAAGTAAGGTTATAAGTACCTTAATTGGGGTTATACGTAATTATAGTTGCCCTAAGTATAAACCTAGTTACCAATAGACCCTATGGATCCCCTTTTACAATAGAACCCCTATAGATCCCCTCTGAAGGAGCCCTTTAAAGTCTAACCCTAGTTACTAAGTCCCATGATCCTTTAAGCAGGAGCTGGGGCCCTCACGTTGAGTTCAACGCGCGCGCGTCGAACTTCAAGGCGCACCTTGTGAGGGCTCAGGAGTTTTAGGGTTTGGGGCTCCTTTGAAGGGTACCATAAGGGTTCCTTTAAGGGATCTATATGGTTTTAGGATTCAGGGGTTAGGTTTTAGGGATTGGGGCCTAGGATTCAGGAGTTAGGGGTTTGGGGTTTGCTGTTTTGGGGTTTAGGGGTTTCGGGGGTAGGGTTTAGGGTTCAGGCGTTGGGGGTGTTGCGGTTTAGGGGTTAAGGTTTGGGGTTTGGAGATTTGGGTCCAGGGGCTAGGGTTTGGAGGTTAGGGTTTAGAGCTGCTGTCTTCTACTGGTTTAGCTGGGAGTTTAATTTAAGAGATCCATTAGGATTTTTCTAGGGCTTTTTGGAGGGTTCTGCGGGTTTCGGGTTGGAGGAGTTGAGGCCTTGGGGGTCTTGAGGTTTTCGGTCCTCAGGGTTTGAGGCGTTTTGGGGTTTTGAGCCCGGGTCTGGGGCTTCCGCATGGCTTCTCTGAGGCTCTGCAAATTTGTCAACGGCCTGTACCTAGACCCCCCAAAATAGGTAAAATAATGGCCCGAGGCCTATAAAATAGGCTATTATTCTACATACTGTTGGGGTCCAGGTAGGGGTTAACATTTAGGGTTCATTGAGGGCTGGCGTAGATTTGCTGCGGATCCTCACGGCCTTGACCGGCTTTATTGCTTTTGCTATGGGTTTGCATGAGAGTCCGTATAGCATCCTGCAATATTCACATCGGGTGTTGGGGGTGGTTGAGACATGCAGAGGAAGATGTATGCTTAAAGGCCTAGCTGCCTAGCTGCACCTCCTCACCTGACTTTTGGGGTCCGAGGGCTTGCGTTCGGTCCTCAGCATCGCAAGACTTCGAGACTCAGGCTAATCCTTGTGCTGACATTGCTTGTATGCATCTACCCCCGAGCCTTCTAGAAATGAAGCGAAATCCAGGCGCACCCATAAGGCCAGTGGAGCCTAAACCGTAAATACCAAGCCACAGAGACACGTCCCATGCGGAGTCGCCACTGGCGCCGCCGCCCAGGGGATGCCGCTGAAGCGCATCTCGGGCCTGCAGAGCTTGAGGGGTTTGGAGTTTAATGGATTCTGGTCGTATCATACTACGGTCGACTATAATGGCTCGAAACATGCATGCATATATGTATGTATGTAGGTAGGTATGCCATGTATGTTTGCAGGTATGTATGTATGCATGTAGGCATACATGCATGTATGAATATGTACACGCATATCGTACATCATGAAGGATCACGTTATATCGTCTGATTGGGGGGTTGAAAGGGAGGCCGGGAACCCAAAGAGGGGCTCGAACCGGGCCGAAGCAATACGACACCTTGCAGAACAGACATATGCTTGTTTCCGAAGATAGAGCGAACCTAGATATAGTACCCTACATAGTAGGATCCTTATCATAAGGACCCCAAAATAAGGTAACCCGAAATTCCGGAAACTCCCATATCTTTGCCCTTGCCGCCTCCGCCAAGTGCGGAGTGGACAGCGGCAAACATTCGGTCGCAGAAGCCACACCGCGGCCCTCCGGCGTGGGTATCAGTTGCTGTCACTACGCCACTACTCTTGCCACTACTAACTACTGCTACTGCTCCTTACCATCATATACTTTAAACTTCTCCTTGAAATGTCCCTTACAGTACTCCTAAAAGTATCCCTTATAGGTCTCCTTATACTATCCCTTATAGCACTCTTCAGAAACGTTTGAAAACCCGAATCCTATGAAATTCCTTACGGTTTAGTTAGTTCTACAAATACCCAGACCTTGGGGAGGATCCAAAAGTAGATCCCTTAATGGGGGTTCCTATAAAGTACCCTTAGTAGTATAGGGCCCCAAATTAGGGGATCTACTTTCTAGATCCTCCCGGGGGTCTGAGTAGTAGCCCTTTCAGAAACGTTTGAAAACCCGAACCCTATATAGTATTCCTTACAGCTAGTTAGCTCTACAAATCGTAGCCCTTTCAGAAACTCTTGAAGACCCGAAACCCTACACCCTAAACCCGAATCCCAACCCCAAACCCTAAACTCGAATCCAAACCCTAAAGCCTAAACCCTAAAGCCTAAGCCCTAAACCCGAATCCAAACCCTAAGCCCTAAAGCCCAAAGCCTAAACCCGAAAACCCTAAACCAAACCCTAAACTCGAAACCAAACCCCGGGGGATCGGCCCTGAGATCTGCGTCGCCACCGAAGCTCCACATGTTCCTGCGCAGCGGAAGCGCCCCAAGGGAAGAGAGCTTGGTTGTTTAGGGTTCCTTAACGTTTAGGAAGTTTAGGGCTTAGGGTCCTTCTAAGGTCTAGGATTTGCGGTTTAGGGTTCCTGTAAGGGATACTAGAGGATTCCTTCTACCCAGACCCCCCCCAAAGGATCTAGAAAGTAGATCCCTAATTTGGGGCCCTATACTACTAATGGTACTTTATAGGATACCTCCCTCCCGAAAGCCTGGGTGAAGGTTAATTTTAGGGTTTAGGGTTTAGGAGTGCGAGATCCTTAGATTTGTGCTATGGATCCCTTATAGTGCCCTTGTGGTACCATTTCTGATAGCAGATCCCCTATAGAACCCTTTTTAGGGGAGCCCGGGCCTATAGGCATCCACATCGTCCCCTCCGCCAGGTGCCAAGATCGCCTGCATGGCAGGGGTCCTTCTTTGAGGGATCTGCACAATAGGCTGGAGAGATTACTTGGGCTCTCAGTCTCGATTTTACTCTTATTACTATGAGCAGAAGTGTGATTACAATACATATGATGAAGATTGCAGAAAGGATTACTAGAATACTACTATATTGCTGTTTCTGATTCCTATTGCTTGTGCTTATACTACTACTGCTGCTACTACTAAGATTCTGCTTCTGACTCTTATCATGTCTAGTGCTCCTCTTCTTAAATCCCTTATAGTAGCCCTTAAAGACTTTGTAAAGGAAGCCTTTAACTTAAAGGAACCTCAAGGCCCCTACAGTAGGGCTCCTATTTCCTCAAAACCTCTCGCGCCTGGGTCGTGGGGAGCATGCCATCAGAGGCAGCTCTCCTGCGCTTCGAGAGGTCGGGAGGAGTGCTAGGGTTTAGGGTTTAGGGTAGAGGGTTTAGGGTTTAGGGTTTTGGGGTAGAGGGTTCTGTTTAAAGGGTAGGGTTAAAGGTTTAGGATTTACGGTTTTGGGGTTCATGTAAGGGATATTAGAGGGTTCCTTTTACCTAGACCCGGGAGGATCGAAAAAGTAGATCCCCGAATTTGGGGCCCTACTAAGGGTACTTTATAGGAACCCCCATTAAGGGATCTACTTTTTGGATCCTCCCGGAGGTCTCGGCTTACAGGGTTCCTTTGTAAGGGTAGGAAGAAGGCCCTAAACCCTGTTCTGCCTATGATTAGCCCCCATAAGCCCTGAACCATGAAGCCTTACAGAGCCCTTAATAGTAACGATGTAGGGTTTAAGGTTTAGGATTTACGGTTGAGGGTTCCTTTGGACGTTTAGGAAGTTTAGGGCTTAGGGCTCCTGTAAGGGATGTTCCTGTAAGGGATATTAGAGGGTTCCTTGTAAAGGGTAGGGGTTAAGGTTTAGGATTTATGGTTTAGGCTTCCTTCTGACGTTTAAAGGGTACCCTAAACCCGAAACCTTATTGTGGGGGCTGCCCTAAACCCTAAACCCTAAACCGAACCCTAAACCCTAAACCCTAAACCGGGCTCTTTCAAGTGCGACCATACGGGCTACGGTTACTATAACGGTGACAGGAGTCCTCTGGGCTGGAAGGTTTCAGGTTTGGGTCTTACCTGGAGGATCATGGGACTTAGTAAGGTTCTAAGTGCCTTAATAGTACCAGTTACCCTAATTATAACCCTATAGTTACTAAGTCCCGTGATCCTTTCAGTAGACCCTATAGATCCCTTTTTATAATAGAACCCCTATAGATCCCCTTTAAAGGAGCCCTTTATAGTATAACCCTAGTTGCTAAGTCCCGTGATCCTTTCAGTAGGGTCCCGGATTTGTCCGCAGTTTCAGTTTCGCTTTAAGAGCTTAGGGCTCCGGGACTCGTACTTAGGTCTTCGGGGTCAGCCAGAATCAAGGGTTGAAGCCCCTACTGGGAGAGTCGGGGGACTTAGTAACTGGTTATTTTAGGGACTTATAACTACCATAACGCCAATTAGGGTCCCTTTTAGGGTACTTACAAGTCTACTAACTACCTACTTACTAAGTCCCCCGACCCTCCAAGTAGCATGGGCCCTTAACCTTGGGATCCCTATAAAGACCTACTATATACCCTACATAGACTCTTAAGGGTCCCTAGAGCTCCTTCAAAAGGCCTAAGGGTCCATATTAGGGGCCCATACTTCTAACCTACTTTAGGGCTTGGGCTTGACGGTAGGTTGAAGCCTGCAGCTTAGGACCAGGGCTCAGTATAAATAAAAAGTGCGATAGGTGATGAGGTGCGCGCTTGACCCAGAAGCAGGACCTAAACGTTGTATGCAGAATGCGAAGCTTTAAGCGACGGCCCCGACATGAAGACATTGAATCACTTGAGGATGCAGCTTCGTGCATGCAAGCACGAAGCAACAGCACGAAGAAGTCCTCAAGATCGTCTCGTAAGCGACGTGCAGGCACCTGCGCATCGAGAGTTCACTGTTAGTTGTGGGGATTCTTGTTGTTACTAACTGCGTTACTACAAATTACTGTTTGGTTGTAAATTATTACTGTTATTCTGACTATGACTATTAGGCTTGCACGCAGCTTTTGGGAGAAACTTCTGCTGTCAATGTGGCGAGAAACCTAAACCCAAACCCTAAGAACCATTGAAACCTTAGACCCTAGCAGCAAAGCATCAAACAAAACCTGAAATCTCATGCCCAAAACCCCTGATAAAACCCTTGCAGAATCCTTGTAGAACCCTTGTGGACTTGTTACAATGCGCGAGATTTCTCCTCAACCAAAGGCCTCAGGAACCAGTATCTGTCATCGGCTATAAGTCCCCTAATATGGGTTGTAATTATGGTTACCCTACTTACACCCCCCGCTTATAACTACCCATGAACCTCTAAGTTTTCAATAGTGGCGGCGAAACCCCACTTTGGCCTGGCTCAACTACCAGACGGGCCTTGAAGAGATTTAGGGATATAGGGGCCTTAAGGATTAGAATAGGGTTCCTTTGAAAGGGGTCTTCTTAATTTAGGGGCCTTAATTGGGACCCACTACACTATACTGATAAGTAATTTTGAATAGGGTTCCTTTTAAAGAGGTCGCTACGTGCTCTTTTGGGGGCCCTAAACTTAAATCCCTAAACCCTAAATCCTAAACCCCTAAACCCTAACCCCTAAACTCTAAATCCTAAACCCTAAACCCCTGAACCTCTAAACCCTAAACCCCTAAACCCTAACCCCTAAACTCTAAATCCTAAACCCTAAACCCCTGAACCTCTAACCCCTAAACCCCTAAACCCCTAAACCCTAAACCCCTAAACCCCTAAACCCCTAAACCTTAACCGTTAAACCCTTAAACCCGAAGCTCCAATTCAAGCTTCGGCTCCGTGCACCCCCAAAAAACCCGAAAAAGCCTAAAGCCTAAACGCGATAGATCCCTTAAAGGAACCCTTATAGTACCCAGTCTTAGTTGCTGAGTTCACAAGCCCCAAAAAGTGTACACTTTCAGTCTTATAGTGGGTGTTACTATCCGAAAATATGTAAAGTGTATCCACTCAGCTACTAAGCATTAAAGGAACCCCGAAGTCTCAGTTGCGGCGCCTCATGGTGAGTACCTGCGCGGCCACCTGGTTTGGGGCAGTCGTGGAGGAGGCCACGGCCGACACGTAGTGCTGGGCAAGCTGCCTTGAAGCCGAGGGTTTGAGGCTTAGGGTTTATTTATATAATTAAGGTGAAATCGGTGATTTAGGGTTTAGGGCTTGGGGGTTTGTTTGGGTTGGTGAAGTCGTGGACTTAGGGTTTAGGGCTCAGGGTAGGGAAAGGGTTGAGAGTGTTGGGGTTGTCTACAAATGTTGAAGGGTGCTCTAAAAGTTTTGATGGGTGCTGTACACTTGCAGGAGGGTTTTCGAAGGGTTTCGCAAGGTTCGATTGTGTTCTACCCCCAAGGGTCCAAGTACCTAATAATCATATACTCTCCAAAATCCTAACCTACATAACTACCATCCTAAAACCGAATGCCTGATTCTTGGGTCCTTTGGACCCTTGGGGTACAGGGCTGTGACTGCAAGACCTTAAATAGATCTTGACGAAAAGGTTCTTCAGAGAATCTAGGGTCTGCAGCCGAGGGTTGGCTTACTTTGGGTTCTAGGATTAGGGCCCCAAAAAGCACATAAGCAAAAGTTAGCATAGGGATGTCCATATAAACCCCCTTATAATGAAGCCCGACAAGGTAGGGATATCCCTATACAATGCTTATGCTTATGTGCTTTTTGGGGTCCCTAAAGGATATCTTAACTAGGGTATGAATGCTTTAGGGTTTGGCGCTTCAAGGTGGAGGGCACCCCATGTAAACTATTGTAGGGACCTGCTGAAGGAACCCTGGCCCTGCAACCCCCAAGTAGTAAGGGTTTAGGGTTTAGGGTTTAGGGTTTAGTAGGGTTTAGGGTTTAGGGTTTAGGGTTTAGGGTTTAGGGTTTAGGGTTTAGGGTTTAGGGTTAAGACCCAGGGTTTTCGTAATCAGGTTCCTACCCCTAAACCCCTTATAGCACCCTTATAGACTGCTTATAGTACTCCTTATAGGAACCCTTTAAAAGGAACTTTTAAGGCCCCCTTACAGTAGAAGCCAGAAAGTTGGAATATCATTATCGTAACCCCTTTAAGGTAAATTATAGGGGATCCTACCATTAATCCATATTCCAACTTTCTGGAGTTCCCTTTAAAGGTTCCTACACTATCCGAATACACCTTTTATGAAAGCAGGGGTGAGGGTTTGGGGAGCCTGGAACTCCTGAGTCCCAGCCCCCGGCCCGAAAGCTGATGTCAAACTCATAATGTAGGGTTTGAGATTTAGGGTTTCGGGTTTTTGGGGGTTCAGGGTTTCGGGTTTAGTGTTTTACGGCTTTAGGGGTTTAGGGTTTAGGGTGTTACGGTGTTAAGGGTTTCGGGTTTAGTGTCTTGAGGCTTTAATGCTTTAGGGCTTTAGGGTTTTAGGGTTTCAGGGTTTCAGGGTTTAGGGTTTAGTGTTTTAGGGCTTTAGGGGTCTAGGGTTTAGGCCTTACACTGTACCCTGAAGTTCCGCAGCACCAATTCAAACTCGATAGATTCCCGAGGCCCTGAACCAGAAGTCGCGGCACCACGCCCGCACCAGAGGTTTCAGAAAATTGGGGACCCGAACATAAACCATCGGAGGACGCCTGCCGCAAATGGACCACAAGGGCACTAAGGACGCCTTGATGTTCACAAAGTCCGTATAAAACCGGTGGAAATTTTCAACTTGTTTTATAGTACAAGCATCCCACAGAGGTACTATCCCTGGAAAACGAGCCCCCAGATAAGGCCGAACCTCAAAGCCTAACCCCTAAACAACGCAGCCCGAAGCACCACAGGATCTGCAGAATCTCTTTCTGTAGGGCCAAGTCCTCAGTTGGGTCTTGGGGCTCAGGCGTGAATACACAGGCATTAATGCCTAAATGGTTAGAAGAGCAGAGCATTAGCCCTAGACTTACTCCCGAAACTCCAACTGAAATCAATCCCTAAAGCTCGCAAACTATCCTGCGATGCTTCAAAACGGCTGATGTCCACGACCCATTATTAAACAAAAACGAAATGCAACGAATTTGGGTTTAGCGCTCTCAACTTTAGAATGTTTGATCATTTCATGTAGTCTTTGAGACTGTGACCAAAACAACTGAATATCTTCGTAAACAACAATGATACCCACCGTTTGGGCTCTGAACCTGTACTAAACTCTAAACCAAAAATCTTGTAGAACCCTTCCAGACCCCGTAGCATGACCCCTTTCTGCGATTGTAATTAGAACCACCAGTGGACCCCTTAGCATGAACCCTTTGTACACCCGAGTGGCGAATTCCATGTCCATCCAGCCCTGGTTGTCTGGCTGGAACTGGCAAAGGAAGACATCTTCAATTAGCGCTCCGATCCTGCAAGGATACGGGTTTAGGGCTTAGGGTTTCGTTGGGGTTTCACGGGGTTGCCTTTGAAGTAACCAGGGCGAAGACTGTAGATTTTTTTTCACAGTGGTTCCTTTAAGGGACAGGTTCAAAAACAGTACTCGAGTATGTAGACAAAGTTTAAACCTCTCGGTCTGTTCAGAGTTTTGGACTGTTGGGGTGTAGGGTCTCACCTTTTCTGTACTTGGACAAGGTTAGGGCTTTAAAGTTAAGGAGGGGTTGCTGAATACCTGAGCTTAAAACCCTAAAGAACACCTGAAACCCTGAACCCTAAACCCTGAATCCCGAACCCCAAACCCCGTACCCAAAACCACTAACTGTTCCGTCGCCGCGATCCAGAGGGGAGCTTCGGTGTTGTTTACTTCTTGGGGTGTCTCCGATGATCCAAAAAGTAGATCCCTTAATGGGGGTTCCTATAAAGTACCCTTAGTAGTATAGGGCCCCAAATTAGGGTATCTACTTTCTAGATCCTCCCGGGGGACTGGGTTCTTGGGGCGACTCCGATGATCCAAGTGTCAAGAACCCAGAAACCCCTTACGGCTTAATCAAGGACTATACTTAAATCATGATATGAAGCCACCTATGCTTTCAGGTGTATTTACATCACGAGGCATTGGGCTCTCTGGACAGCCTTGATCATTTGAGCAAAGCTGTGGGGAAGGTATAGCTATGCGGAGACGAAGGACTAAGGGGCTGGTTTCACTTGGAAACGTACGTTTACACCACGAAGTGCATCCAGGTACAATACGGGTTCGATTCCAAATACGCTCGTACCCGGAATCGCACTTGGAATCGTACTTTTACACCACAAAGTGCGTTTGCCGGAACGATTTCCAGTACGATTTTCGGTACGGTCGTGCCCGGAGTTCCTACGTGAACTTGTAGTTTGCACCCAAAGTTGTAAATTGAAATCGTGCATGAGCTTGCAGATGTATTTCCGAACCGTATCCAAAACCATGCAGTTCATTTCAGAAGCTGCCAGGAATGACTTCAGTGATGTCATAAGCCTGAACCCTGAAGCAGGGAACTGCCCACGACTCTGACCTAAACCCGGAACCCTAAACCACAGTGTCCTCAGCTTGGAAGTTTCCTCCAAGCCATTTCGCTCCAAGCAATCGCCTGATGCATGGTCGAAGGAACCGAGCCGGGGGCGGTCTGTAGGGCTCATGGTCTACACGGTCCCTGACCTACCTTTTTAAGCACCTGTGCAGGGAAATCATAATGAGGAACCCTAAAACGGTAGGTTCTTTAGGGTCCAGGTACACGGCGGCATACGGATGATGTTTGGTGCTTCGCACTCCTAGCAGAGACCTCTGGCTGTTGACACCCACACGGCTGTTAGCTTAATGCTACAACAGCCACGGCTTCAGAAGGATAAAAGTAGCTGAACCACACCGCCAGCAGATCAGGTGAGCTGACGTAATCACCAACCTAGAAACCCGCTTCGAAAAAAAAAGAACCCCTCGTCCGCCAACCCTAAACCTACAATCTCAAGACCTTAGCTGAAGGCCTAAATCGAAACCCCTCAAACCTCACACCATGCCCTAGAAGCTGCCCCCACCCAGTATCATAGGGCCCTATACCTCATAGTCACTATTACAGGGTGGGGGCAGCTTCTAAACCATGCCCCTGAGTTCCGGGCACATCGTCCGAACAGTGCGGAGCAGTTCAATGCCGCTAAGCCTGTGCCCAGGTTTGATAGATGAAGCTAAACCCTACTTAAAGGGTCATGGGACTTAGTAACTAGGCTTATAATTAGCGTAACTATACTTATAACCCCAATTATGATGACTAACCAGTGGTTTTGGGATTCCCTTGGCTGTTTAGCTCCTTATTTAGGAGGGACTATCATCATCCCTGGCTCCTTAGCTCCTCCAATATCAACGGTTAGATGAAGATAGACCCTAAACCCCAAAACATAGCCTTGACTTGAACCAAAACCCTCAAAACTAAGTCCCAAATCCCAAATCCTGAATCCTGAACCATAACTCGTCAACACCCTAAACCCCAATTCCCACACCCTGATTGCTGCAGGTTCTACTTGGAGGGTCATGGGAATTAGTAAGTAAGGTTATAACTGCCTTAATTGGGGTTGTAAGTATAGTTACGCTAATTATAACCCTAGTTACTAAGTCACATGATCCATTAAGTAACTGCTGCAGGTTCTACCCCAGCTCCCTGTGCAGGATTCTGTGCACTCAAGCAGCTGGCGAAGGCTCGCGAGGTCCACCTGGGACCCAAAGAAGATTGTACTTAAAGGATCATGGGACTTAGTAACTAGGGTTCCTTAAAGGGCTTCTTTAAAGGGATCTATAGGGGTTCCATTATAGGGTCTACTTAAAGGATCATGGGACTTAGTAACTGGGGTTCCTTAAACGGCTCCTTTAAAGGGATCTATGGGGGTTCCATTATAGGGTCTACTTACAGGATCGTGGGACTTAGTAACTAGGGTTATAATTAGGGTATCTGTATCTATAACTCAATTAAGGGCACTTATAACCTTACTTACTAAGTCCCATGATCCTCCAAGTAGACCTCTGATTAATACAGCTCTGTTCTATAAGGGGCTTCATATGAGGATCCCCCAGTTTATAGTTCCTGTTCAGGTAAAGGGTTCTTTGATCAGGAGTTACCACTGGCAGCTTGCGGTAGGCCTTTCGGCTAGGGCTGAAGGACATGAATTTATAAATACATATGTGGAATCCTGGATAGACATGTACATACATATATATATATATATGTAGAAATCTCTCTCTCTCTCTCTCTCTATATATATATATATAATTAAGCAAATATCTAATATACATTCACATAGAGCGAGAGATTGAGTTTAGGGTCACGAAGAGCCCCCGAAGCGGCTCACATTTCAGGTATGCGGACGTCTGTCTCGTCGCACTACCTCGAAGTATCCTATCCCTGGGCGAAGACAGAAGATGGCGAGACAGACACCTGGTAGCCAGGTCCGACAGTTGTCGGCTGTTTAGGGGTTCACGATTTATGGCACTTGGCTGACTTCTGAACCCCTCCTAAAAGTTAAACTTTTAGCCTCCTTATTATAATTCATATAGAAACCCAGAAAGTGAACCTCTAAAGAACCAACCAAAAGAACGCCAAGGGCGGCGTCTCTTGCCGAGAGTCATGCTCTCCCAGTCGCTGGGTGTCTTTGTCCCCCATGAGGTGGGAATACGCGCGGTAGTTGTTGTTGCCTTGGCTAGGCGCGACCCGGCTCAGGGCCCAAGCGAGGGTTTAGGATCTAGGGTTAGGGTTTTTTCTCTTTAGGGTTTGGAGTTTTGGGTTTAGTTTAGGGTTAGGCACAAGGGCTCTCTGTGATTTAAACTCGCGAGCACCTTCTTCAAGACCCCCTCGCTTCAGCGCAGGCACCTTTCCCAGCCCAAGAGATTGACAAAGCTTCCCAGCCAGGAAAGCCCACGTAGCCGACGTTCGCCTTACTTGGAGATGCTGGAGCAGAGTCGAAACAGAAACGGCCATCTGCACTTGGAGCAAAAGGATCTCCGTCCCAGACCGGGAGGATGCAAAAAGTAAATCCATTCATGGAGGTTCCTATAAAGTACCCTTAGTAGTATATGGCCCCAATTAGGGGGTATCCTGGTCTGGCAACATGCACCATCCCTGAATTCTCCAAACCTTGCGAGCGAAGGGACGGGATTCGCGCCCTCGCTGATTCCCACCGCCCGGGCAGCCATGGCTTCGCGCTGCGCCTGGTGCGCCTCGCCCACCTCAGGGATACTAGGAGGGTCATGGGACTTAGTAGTTCCTTTAAGGGTACTATAGGGGTCTATACTAAAGGGCTCCTTAAAGGGATCTATAAGGGTTCTATAATGGAGGATCATGGGACTTAGTAAGAAAGGTTATAAGTACCTTAATTGGGGTTATAAGTATAGATACCCCAATTATAACCCTAGTTACTAAGTCCCATGATCCTTTAAGTAGGGTTTGGGGTTGAGGGCTTGGGGCTTAAGGGTTTAAGATTCAGGGTTCAGGGTTGAGTCGAGGGATTGAGGATGGAATAGGGGCCATCGCAAAGTTTATTTGCGGGGGCTAGGGTTTTGAGTTCGCAGCTTTGGGGCTTGCCGTTTGGGGTTTTGGGGAGGGTAGGGTTTGGAGCTGTTACCGTGGCGTACATGTGCTCCGGATTAAGGAATCTGACTAATCGCGTCCCCTAAACCGACAGCTCGGGAGTTAAGGCCTCTAGGGCACATGCTTATGATTGCTGTCACGCAAGAAACCCCTGAGCCCAAAAATCTCAACAAATTCGGGGCTCAAGGGTTTGCGGTTTAGGGTTTGGGGTTCAGGGATAAGCTTCACTAGGCTTCCCGGCTTGCGCGACACGACGGCGAAAACAGGCCGAAGTCACTACACCTCTGAAGCCAAGGATGGCACCCAACCGCCAAATCGGAAGACCATTCGAGCCTGAATCTAGCCCAAAACCCAAAAACCCTAAACTAATTCCTAAAAGTCCTAAAATCCCCTACCCCCCAAAGCCCTACACCCTCCGTCCCGAGACCTTAACACCCTAAATCGCAGCACATGTCAAGCCTCAGTCGCTGCAGGACCTAAGCTAAGTCGTCATGGAGCCCTAGAGCTTAGGGTTTAGGGTTAGGCTTCAGGGTTTAGGGTTTTTGTTGTTTTATGGGATCTTTTTCGACTGCGTACAGCTAGAATTAGCACCCTGGGGTTTGGGATTTCGGGCTCACCTAGACCTCCAAAAGTGAGCAAAATAATGGCCCAAAACCTATAAAAGGCTCTTATTCTACATACTTTTGGGGTCCAGGTAGAGCCCTACAAGCCCGGAAGAATCAAAGCACTGTGGCCTTGGAGTCCACGGCTGCAATCAGATCGCGAACCTTTGCTTCTCGATTGTGGCTGTGAGCTTGCTTCGGTTTAGGACTTAGGGTTTAGGGTTTAGGGCTTAGGGCTTAGGGTTTAGGGTTTAGGGCTTAGGGCTTAGGGCTTGCAAAAGTCAGGTTGGTTTATGTAGTTTTCTGGGGCGTGAAGGGCATCAGAGGACCCAGTAAATTGAGCTCATAAGTAGCGATGACCATGATTCTCACATGCTTACTGTCCCTCCATCTTTCAAGGTGGGTTCACGGCTTTTGGGTTTAGGGTTTAGATGTAAACTCTGGGACTGTTCACCATCTAGAGATGGGGTTTTTTACGACGACCACTCTTGGATTGATTGAGACAACCGTAACAGGGGGCCCTACAGAAGGGCCACCGTTTGGAATAGCCCCGGGCCAGGCAGTTTAGGGTTCTGAACCTAGAGAAGACACGGAAACCAGCTGGGCAACTATACCTGTTAACTTCGGTGCGACTGCTGCTCTGGATGACGCTGGTAGGAACCTTTGTGGTAACCATTGTAGGAATCCTAAAACCGTAAGCCCGAAACCCGAAACCCTAAACCCCAGACCCACGGCCTCCAAAATGCCCTGAGCCTTAGCTTACTACCCAATAAGCCACAAAAATGAAAGGTTAAACTTTCTGATTCCTGCTAAACTAACCCTAAACCCTAAACCGGGATCTAAGCTTAGCTTTCGGAAGTTTTCGGAGCAAAGCAGACGAGGAGCTGCTTCCATGTCTTTGGCCGGGAGGCCCACCCGCTCCTCCCGGAGCACCTGAAGTGATGGTTCTATACAAGGATTCGCAAAAGGCTCTACAAGTTCTCCACAAGAAGCTAAGCTTAGGTTAAGTCTGTATGATCAGGGATTTAACGGGGTTTCAGAAAGCTTCAGTAGTGCTGCGAGATCCTTTTGAAGTAAGAAAGTCTGCGGCGCAGTTGCTTCGAACCTCACTAGCCGATGCACCATCATGCAGAAATCCTTCACCCCCAAAACCCCAAACCAAGACAGGATTCTGAAGAGATAGTAGCAGCAGACTCCTTCAATTAGAGTCCGTAATATCACTATACTACTCAATATCTATGTAGATAGTTATGTATTTGTACATGAATACATACATGTGTATGTATGTGTACATGTGTATATATATATATATATATATATATACGTATATAGCGTCTATCTGTCCATCTATCCATACATCCATGCATCCATGTATCTATCTACCCACCCAACTACCTATCTACCTATCTACCTACTGTATCTACCTATATGCCTTCCCCGGGGCATGAGGGGTGTCTGAAGCCCCTCGGCCTATCTGTCTCTCTCTCTCTCTCTCTCTCTCTCTCTCTCTCTCTCTCTCATTCTTTCTTTCAGCCGGGCTTAGGGGTCGGTCGTCTCGCTCTCCCTCTCTCCCTCTCTCTCTCTCTCTCTCTCCCTCTCTCTATCTCTCTCTCTCTCTCTCTCTCTCTCTCTCTCTGTCTCCATCTGCCCATCTGTCTATCTATCTTCCTGTCTATCATCTATCTTATCCCATCCCTTCCCATCCTACCCTATCCTGTGTGTATATATTATATGTGTATATGTTTTGATATACATATATATATACACATCCAAACATATTTTTTCTCGGGACACACACACACACACCATGATCAATCGCCTCACACCCCTGGCCCACAGAGCCTTCTGCGCGACCTGCCGGCAAGCGAACTCCACGACCATCAAGTCCGACCGTGAGAGTCCCTGTCGGAACAGTTGTACTGGTAGCGGGTTTAGGGATAAGCGAGTCGATAGAACCGTAAAGCAACCTTATGAAATCACTGTAAAACCCAAACCGCCATAGAGCCCTTGTAACGACAGCTTAAGGAAGTCCTTAAAGGAGCCCTTTAGAACCCTACGAAGCCCAAACCCCCAGAAAGCCTTTATCGATCCCTTACAAACCCCTCAAAGCAGCCCTATAAAAAGCCTGAATACACATACAAACCCTTTGTTCATATAGAATCAACCTGAACAGCCTTAATAAAAACCAAAACCCTTAGTTCACAAAAAATCGTGCAACAACCCTTCTGGCTGCCTCCAGGTCTGTACTTCCCAAGGCTCCATGGATTCTTTGGAGCTGCTGGACACGCAGCTGATACATCAGCCGCTTCCTGTTTAGGGTTGAGGGTTTGGGCTTGAGGGTTTAGGGTTTGGGGTTCATGGTTTCGGGTTTCGGGTTGAAGGTTGGGGGTTCAGGGTTGAGGGTTTGGGGTGCTTGTCGGTTTGTAAAGTGATTTTAAGGTGTTTCTTGAATGCTCCGCGGGGGGATATGGTTTAGGGTTGAAAGTTGTGGATTCCTATCGAAATTTGGTAAGAATTTTGTGGGTTTGCAACTGGTTTTACACCGGCTAGGGGTTTTGGTTGAGATGTTTAGGCTCGGGCTAAGGGATCGCGGATTCAGAGTTTGGTGATGGTGTGGGGTTTAGGGTTTGGGGTCCAAGGTTTCATATAAAAACTAGAACTCGGTGCTCGAGCTTCACGGCTTTACGGCATCAGGGCAGTTTTGACTACACGCTGTAGCACCTACAGTCTCCGCTAGGCAAGGCAAAGCCCAGCACGTCGCCCTGCACCCTAAAACCTTTACAACCGAAACCCTGCAGGTCATATCAGCCTAGGGGTTTAGGGTTTTGCGTTTCGAAGCGCAACACCTGCGCATATCTCATAACTCCAATGCCCGAAACCCTAGATGACAAACTTGAAACCTGACATGGCTCAATCAGCCGACTTGAAAAGCCCTTCAGAATCCCTGAAGCCACCGAAACCCAAACCGCTGCCATCTTCACTCTCAATGTATGCAAGACACTATTCCAATTTTCAATCCCCGTAGCAAGGAAAACCAGAACCTCCCAAAGCTCGTGCAACAATAAGCCCGAAACCCTCAACAAAAAAACATTAAAACCGTAAAACCCTAAAAGCCCTAAAAACCCTAAACATAATGGTGCCCAAACACCTTAGACACTAAAAAAACAAAAACCTCAAAACCTGAAAACCCTAAAACACTAAACACCCTCAAACCCTAAAACACCCTGCACACCCTAAAACCCTAACACCATGAAGCCCCACGTCTGATAACAAAATCCCGGGGTCCTTTCTGGCGCTTCGATTCCACGAGTTCCCAGGATCAGTCGCAGGGCGGCCGGGATGCACTTGTAGTAGCCTGTGGCTCTCTTAGCTTTAAGGTTAGGAATTCAGGGGTTTAGGACCTTAAGATTTAGCTGCCCTAGCTTGAAGGTTAGGAATTCAGGGGTTTAGGACTTTAAGATTTAGTGGTGTGGGGGTTTGGGATTTAGGGTTAGGGTTTGGGGTTGAGTGGCTTAGGGGTTTAAGGGTTGCAGGGGGGGTGGGAGGTTAGGGTTTTTTTTGGCACTGCTGCTTTAGGGTTCAGGGTTCAGAGGTCTGCCGGTTTAGGGGTTTAGGAGTTTGAGGGTGGGGGAGTTTTTATATGTGAGACAGTAGGGTGCTTGTGCTTCCTAAAGGGGCCGAATGATTAGAACAGGGTTCTAGGGTACATTATCACTATAACGAATTATCCCTTGAAGGAAGCCTGCAAAGAAACGAATTTAAGGAGCCCTTCAAAGAAAGCCCTCGACAGAACCTTACGGTAAACCCTATGCAGCGAACTCTGGGTTGCGGACAGCTGCCAGCTCGCTGTAAAGTGGCTGAGGTCTGCCACGACCTCGGGCTTGCGGGGTTTCCATTAGGGTTTAGGGTTTAATAGGGCGCATTGGGGTCTAAAACCCTAAACCCTAAATCCCTAAACCTAAACCCTGAACCCCAAACCCCTAAACCCCTAAACCCCTGAACCCTAAACCCCTAGACACTAATCCCTAAACCCATTTGGGTTTGTAGGGTTTTGTGGCTTCAGGGTTCAGGCTTGAGGCCTTCAGGGTCCGGGGTCTGGGGTTTGGAGTTCGCGGGTTCAGCTTCGGAATGACTCGGGGATTATTACGGTTTAGGGTTTAGGATACGGTTCAGGAGCATTAAGTCGGAGAGGGGTCAAAATGGATATCTGCGGTTCAGCAACTAATCTTCCTGCTTGGACTCTGGTGAATATAGTCAGTATGGTTTGGGTGTGTGAGCGCTAAAGAATAACGCTGGTATTTATTTATCTAAACCCTTAGCCCTACACTGCCCTTAAGCCCAAAGCATAATATGCCCCCTAAACATAACTATTTGAACTTAGAACCCTAGCAAAAAATATAATTTTGGCTGTTTCTTAGGGATTGTAATAACCAAAAATAAAAAAGTATTTCTAAGTACCCCTAAGATAAAACGAACACCAAAGCGCCACCCGTACTGCCAGCCTGTGGCCTGAGGCCACTCCTTGATCTGCCTTCTGAGGCTTACCCGAAGCATACTTGGAGGATCGTGGGACTTAGTAAGTAGGGTTATAAGTACCTTAATTGGGGCTATAAGTATAGTTAGCCTAATTATAACCCTAGATACTAAGTCCCATGGTCCTTTAAGTAGAGGTGAACTTCTCCACCCAAAACCACAACCCATAATAAGGTTTACTAATCAGAACAGGGTTGCGGAGGTATACTAGACGAGTAGCATACGTGTACATGGGCGACATGGAGATATTACTATCATCAGCGATTCCGACCGCTGTGTTACTCTTCTGGGCTTTGAAGTAGCCAGGCAGAAGAAAGGGCAGACCTGTGTTTCATAAAGGTTCCTTTCAGGGACAGGTCCGAAAGATATTCAAGTATGCTACCCTACAACCCCGTTTTTAAGTACCCTTATAGTAGCTGCATAGTACCCTTTATAGTGCCCTTCTACTACCCTTGTAGTACCCCAATCCCAGGATTTAGTTACAACCCGAAAGCGCAGAGCCCTTCACCCGCGTATCAGGCCCCCGACTCGTCAGTTTGCTTGCGGACATCGCCGTTGGGCAGCAGCATCGGCAGCAGAACTTCGTACAGCATCGCCGGCTTGTGGTGGTCTGCTTTGGTGAAATAAATCCTGGGTGGACATCGTTGAGGCTTTTGGGTTCAGGCTGTAGGACTTAAGGTCTGATCCCCGAGATAAGCCCCGATTGCTTTACCGATTGTTAAGTTAGGCATCCCGGGATGTCCTTCATGTCTAGGCCTTTGTGCTGCGGCGTGTGTGGTTTGGGATTGTCTCTTTGCGTTTGGGATGGGGACGGGCTGAGTCCCTTGTGATGGGGTGTCGCAAACTCCACCCATCGCAAAGACACTAAAGCTAACCTTGCTCACAACAACCTATCAAACAAACTCCATGCCGCTATCTAAACCTGAACCCTAAGCCCTTAACCCTAAACCCCTAAACCCTAAACCCTGGACCCTAAACCCCTAAACCCTGAACCCTAAACCCTAAACCCCAAGCCTTAACCCCTACCAGCGAAAGGCTCCCCTAAGTCCTTCAAAACCGCAGCTGAGGCGCTTGAAAAGGGAGTGGAGCCAGAGCTCATCCAGAATTCGTTCCGAGGGAATCCCGGTCAGCCGCCACGAGGTTATGTGCCTCGGCTTTCTTTCGAATTATGGCCTACTTACAGGATCATGGGCCTTAGTAACTAGGGTTATAATTTAGAATTAGGGTAGCTAGGCTTATAACCCCAACTAAGGTACTTATAACCTTACTTACTAAGTCCCATGATCCTCCAAGTAGGGTTCTTGATTTCATTGGGTTATGCCCCCAAGAGTTACTACAAAGGGTTGATGTCAAGGGTTACTCTAAGGGTGTGATAAGGAGTTGTGGTTTCAATAGTGGGACTGAGGGCGCTCTGTTGTTGATCCGGCATACCCATGTAGAGGTTCTGTCTTCTTGCTTTTCGCTTTCAGGTGCCAACTAGGATTTCGTTTGTCTCGCCTCCTGCAAGGTTGTCCGGACTGTGGACGTACACTAAACTCAATAAGCCTAAACTTCCTACATGCCTAAACCCTAAACCCTTAGTTTCGTACACCGGAAATAAGCCCCTGAGCCCGACAGCCTAAACTCTCAAAAATCTAAAACCCTCTAAATCCCGAAACCCCCAAACCCAAAGGCCTAGCAGTTTCTGGGCCCCAGGATGTGAGAGTCCGCACTTCAGGGCGGAAGGCCGCAAAGCCAGCAACCAAGCTTGGCTTGTGCTGGGGGGTCAGCTGAGAGTTCGGGGATGTTTTGATATTGAGGCTTAGAGCTGAAACACTTTCTCTGGGTTGTAGTTTTGGGGCTCTGCAAAGTATTATGAATAGGTACCTCTATAGGAATCATGAGGGAAATTAAAAAGTTTCCCCAATTGCCACCTAGTTCTGCAATTCAAAGAAGCCCAAGCTGCAGGGGCTATCTTGGCATTGTAAAACTACAAACCCCGAGAGTCGACAAGCGAAAAATCCGCACACAGAACCTACCTACAGAATTCTCAGTGCAGGAGCCGTCTTTGGTAACCCTAAATCCTAAGGCCTACACCCTACAGCCTAAAGCCTACACTGCACACTAAATCCTCATTAAGCCCTAATGAGGCTTTCAAGGCCGAGATGCTTCTCCTTTGGAAACACGGCAGCCCCGGCGTCCTCTCGGAAGAACAGCAAACGAAAACGGCTCAGGCGATGTAGCGACCGGATCCATGCGGCGAATTGTGGATGCACACTTCAAGGATCATGAGCCTTAGTAAGTAAGGTTATAAGTACCTTAACTGGGGTTGTAAGTCTAGCTACCCTAATTATAACCCTAGTTACTAAGTCCCATGATCCTTTAAGTACCGGATAAGACATGAAGAAAAGCAGCGCCCGGACTTGCGACATTGTTGCTTCGGTTTCTCGACCGTGCCCTCAGCACTTACGAAATTAAAAACAAGCATTTGGACTGTCTCGGTACTGATGTATGCTCTTGTCTTCCACGATGTTCTACTTACTCTAGCAGGCTGCACTGCACACGTATGTATCTGCGACACATCTCTTTTCCCAACGAGCGACTCGGTAGTCTCAGACCTGCATGACACTCATGCCAGGCACCCGATAAGACCCTCAAAACCCCTCGCCCGACGAATCCTGTGGATGGTCATTGACTCCTTCTCCGGTATTGCACACTGCAAAAGCGAACCTTGGGAGAGACGTGGGGCTATAGTGCTTCGGCTTAGAGATCCTGGGAGAAAGGTTTTGGATTCAGGGTTTAACGGGTTTAGGGAGTTTCGGGACGGCTTAGGGTTTAAGGCTTAAGGGGTTTCTTTAAGGAGTTTAGGGACGGTTTAGAGTTTAAGGCTTAAGGGGTTGGAAGTTTAGAGATGGTTTAGGGTTTACGGTCTAAGGGGTTACGGCAGTGTAGGGACGCTCCAGCGGCCCCTATACACACGCCACTCACCAACGTGGGACCTCGACACCTCCCAAAACCTACCAAAGCACCAGAATCGACACTCATTGAATCCCCCGCACCCTGTTTCAAACCCAAAACACCGTAATCTCTGAACGCCCAAACCCTAAACTCCACGGGAACAGACTCGCGATGGCCGGGCAGCTCGTTGCCGCGGATCCTTTGGAACAGGTAAAGGATGGCGTGGCCGCCTCTCGTGTTTGCACTGGAGACCAACCCGATAAAGTGTTGAATTCGGCTTTCAAGTCACCTCTCACTGGAGGCTAGCATAGTGGTGTATATTATGCGTGAGTATATGTGCATGTTCTATAAGCATATATATATATATATATATATATATATATATACGGCATCATATATAAGTATATATGATACTATTAAGCCCTTTAAGTTACAGTATACATGTGTGTTTACGTATTCTATGGACCATTTTATGGTACTATCGATTCGCAGCCGGAGCCTTTGTTGTGGATCCAGCCACCAGGTGCCAGAAGCATATCTCCCTGCTTCAGCGCCTCCAAAGCCTCTTGGCCGGAAAAAAGCTGTCAGCTGTTGTTTAGTTTCCCCTCCTTCTTCTGGTCCTAGCTCCTACATGCTCTGGTCAAAGGCTCGAGGGTTTTGGAGTTCGGGGCTTCGGGGTTCAAGACTCTAGAGGTGCACGCTTGTCTCCATGCGCATATCTTCAAACAGGCTTGGAGATTCGTGCTTCTTTCAAAGGGGAAAAGGAGGGACCCTCAATGGGGACCCCTACCCTATAACGGGCTGTATAATGGGCTATATAATGGCTGTATTAAGGGTATATACCTAGGGGTCCTTATCAAGGGCTCTTCGTCGCATGCGGTTCTGGTCTACAGTGGGGTTCTAGTCTAATGGTTCAAGGGCCTAAGCAACCCTAGGCCCTCACAAGCCTGCAACTAACACCCTACCCTAGACCCACGAGCAACAGAAGCCCTGTCAGCCCTACCAGGCCTAAAACCTCAAAATCTGCAAGAAGCCTCTACCCAAGACCCTATAAACCCATGAGCCCTATAAGCCCTGTCGGCCCTATAAGGCCTAAACCCTCCAAGTCCGCAAACAGCCCCCACCCAAACCACGACCTAAATCCTGGTTGTAAACTCTATGAGCCCTATATAATTATGCCCTATTAAGGCCTACAGTAGAAGCCTAAGAGTTGGAAACCCAATAGCCTGTATCCTTGAGGGTCATGTATAGGGAATCCCTTCACTATTTGGCCTATAAACCCAGAAAAAACGCCTGGCAAAGAGCCCTCACCCACACCCCGACCTAATACCTAGTTATAAACTCTATGAGCAATGAGCCCGATGTAATTATGCCCTATCAGGCCTAAACCCCCTGGCAAAGAGCCCTCACCCACACCCCGACCTAATACCTAGTTATAAACTCTATGAGCAATGAGCCCGATGTAATTATGCCCTATCAGGCCTAAACCCCCTGGCAAAGAGCCCTCACCCACACCCCGACCTAATACCTAGTTATAAACTCTATGAGCAATGAGCCCGATGTAATTATGCCCTATCAGGCCTAAACCCCCTGGCAAAGAGCCCTCACCCACACCCCGACCTAATACCCAGTTATAAACTCTATGAGCAATGAGCCCGATGTAATTATGCCCTATCAGGCCTAAACCCCCTGGCAAAGAGCCCTGACCCACACCCCGACCTAATACCTAGTTATAAACTCTATGGGCAATGAGCCCGATGTAATTATGCCCTATCAGGCCTAAACCCCCTGGCAAAGAGCCCTGACCCACACCCCGACCTAATACCCAGTTATAAACTCTATGAGCAATGAGCCCGATGTAATTATGCCCTATCAGGCCTAAACCCCCTGGCAAAGAGCCCTGACCCACACCCCGACCTAATACCTAGTTATAAACTCTATGGGCAATGAGCCCGATGTAATTATGCCCTATCAGGCCTAAACCCCCTGGCAAAGAGCCCTCACCCACACCCCGACCTAATACCTAGTTATAAACTCTATGAGCAATGAGCCCGATGTAATTATGCCCACCCCCTGGCAAAGAGCCCTCACCGAGCCTTGCGCAAGGCGACGCACCAGGAGGCAGCCCCGGCAGGGGAGCCAAAGGCACCCCGACCTCGTGGGCGCAGTGGAAACACGAGGCCCTGGGGTTTGGGGCTCCTTTAAAGGGAAGGGTAAGGGTCCCTCTAAAGGGCTCTACAAGGGTTTGGGGTTTAGGACTAGGATTTCGGGTTCAGGATTTAAGACTCTTTGTTGAAGGATTAAATGAGTTTTTGCAGCTCTGAGTAGGACTGCAACAGGATGCTGCCAGGCTTTGCATAGCTCAGGCTTTAGGGTTTTGGATTTTGGGGGTCCGGGCTGTGATTGGGCATTGGGTTTAGGGCACGTGTCGGTATTCGGGCTAAAAAAGTTTTAGGGAGGCAGAACTGATGCATGGCCTTAAGTATTAGGACAAAGTTTCGGGGTATATGGTTGACGAAGGCCAGAGGAATAACATCGAAACTGTTCGGGCCCTGTCTGCAGACTACATGAGAAAGGCTGGCATGATGCGGAAGCGAATTGTTTTGTGAGTCAGACCGGTGCCAGAATCGTTGCGACCAGGTTGACTCGAAGAACCACTGAACCATTCAACTTATGTTCCTTCGGACAAAGGTGCAGCCTATGGGCATTATAATATATGAGCACTATGAACAGCTCAAGATTCACCAAGAGTTGCAATACCTGTGGACTCGCGAGTGTGTTATGACGAGCCCTTGTGCCACCTTCACAAAGAAACGGACGAATAGAAAACAACACAAGCTCCGCCTGAACTTAAACGGATGTGCGCAATGTGTTTCAGAAGGCTACCAATGTAGGAGCCACGTATGAAACAGGCGTCTAGGTGGTAACAAGAACAGTCCCCTTGACCCTTGCGAGATCTCTGTGCGGCGCACCTTCATTGCCAAGCCTGGAGGATGGCGATTCGGCTTTGCTTCTATACTCAACTTCGAACCATCGTAAAATAAGTATTCTTCTCCGACGTTTTTTATGAACAAGAATTAAAATCTCCTAAGGAGACTATAGGCTTAGCTCGGAGATTGTTCACTCAGGACTTTAGGCCCTTTCGGGAGTAGGACGTGTCTTGCTGGGCTGCAGGGGTGGGGTGGGGTTTGAGATGAAAACCTCAACCCCTCGACCTGAAACCAGAAAACCCTCAACCCTTGCCATGGTAAACCTGCATACTACCTTCTAGGACCCTTGAACAAGGAACCCTGATAGAAACCTTCATCACCTTGACAGGGAGTCGAATCCTAATCGAGTCGGATCGTGCCTCGCTCCCTCTTCAAAAAGATGGGAGGCCTCTTGCAGGACCTGCAGCTTGGAGCGCGTGCTGTAGGGGCCTTAAAATCAGAATACTATTTTGGGTGCTCCTTTTTATAATTATAGTATTATATTTCCCCAAACGCTATTCTAACTGTTAAGGCCCCTACATTACTCAAGAATAGTTCAGGGTTGGGGTTTGGAGGTTTGGGGCTCTTAGGGTTAAGGGCTTGTAGGGTTGATTGTAGGGCTGAGTTTGCACTCTCTGGTTCGACAGGCAACTGGACACAGCTTCATGCCTCCACCACCTAAGATCTCAGACTGAAGAAAACTAACAGGTCTAAACTCTATGAGCATCCGGCTGCTTCGACTGGCCGAAACCCTGATACCTTGGATACTGCCCCCACTCAGGAGCAGTTGAAGAATCTTCATAATATAGGTATATGAGGCCCTTACTAGACAGCCCCCAAACTCTGGTGCTCTTAACCCAATCTCTGACATAACCCAACCCAATGCATCCATCACAGGCTTTTGTGACCCTAATGAAGGCCTTTTGTATACACCCTGCCATAGCTAGACTATCCCAGATGAACCACGCAACAAACCCTAAGCCCTTTCAACCCTCAACCTTCAACCCCCAAACCCAAAAATCCTCAACCCCAAGCCCCTACCTCCTGCCCCGGCTGCATCGGGGTACATGGTGCCTTTTAATCATGAGAGCCCGGGCCCCTACTGAACCCTGAGCCCCCAAACTTCTAAACCCCTAAACCCTAAACCCCAAACCCCTGAAATCTAAATCCCAAACCCTAAACCCCAAACCCTAAACCCCTAAACCCCCAAAACCCCGTAAACCCCAGACCCCCCTAAAACCCGAAACCCAGGCCCTGCCTTTGCTGCCTTGGGGTTGCTGCCTTTCAGATCCCGGAGCCACCCGGAGACGTCGCTTAGCGTCTCCTCCTGAGGAGCTTCGGGGGCTTCGAAGACCTTCCTAAGGGGTTCAGGGTGTAGGGTCTAGGGTGGTTTAGGGTTGAGGGTTTAAGGGTTTAGGGTTTAGGGTTGTTGTAGGTGTTTTGGGTTGTTCTAGGGTTTAAGTTTAGGGCTTTTGCAGGGGTTCAGGGCTCAGGGGCTTGATGGATTCAGGGTTAAAGGTTCAAAGTTTAGGCTTCGGAGGTAGGCCTGTATCAGTAGCATCCGGTTAGACAGTGTTTATTAGATTCCCTGTTTATGAGTTGAAGTCATCAAAAGCCTACCTTCAACCGAACCTGGACCCACAAAATGTGTAGAATAAATGCCTTCCTATGGGCGTCTCCCGATTGGCAGCCTCTTTGCTGAAAAATGAACTCTCGTTTAGTGTTTAGGGTTTGCGGTCATCAGAAAACTATTTATTCTGCTTGTCCAGTATCCCAGGGAAATAAAAGGTATACCCTTGGCACCTTGGGATTAATTATGCAGGGGTTAAAAATGACCCAAACAGCTTCAAGGGTACACACCGAATAGCCCATGCCCCTCTGTCTTCTTTCTGCGACTTAAACCTGACTTTAATCGCTCGTGAAGGCCTGCTGGGACGACTTTCGGGTGGTCGGGACAGCTTTAAGACCTTAGGGTTTTTCGGGGGGCTGCATCGTTGCCGACCTACCCTACTAAGTATTTAACCCCACTAAGCCGACTGGAAAACTCCCGACATTCCTAACAAGAGGACGCGATGCGAACACCAGGCCTCAATTGCAACTTAGCCCAATCACCAACTCCGCAACCCCTTAAAACCAAATCCTTCAACCCTGCGCCCTAAAGCCCAAACTCTCAACACTTTCCCTAAATCCTAAGAAAGCTACCTTTTGAGGGCTCCTTTAGATGATGTCCTGATATAAGTCCTGAAACGAGAAGGTTACTTGGGAATTCCTTATGAAAGTCCTCAAAAAAGGTAGGTTACTTGGGGTTAAGAAAAGCCCTGAAGGCACCCAAATCCCGATCCCTAAACCCTACTTGGAAGATCATGGGACTTAGTAAGTAGGGTTATAAGTACCTTCATTGGGGTTATAAGTATAGTTACCCTAATTATAACCCTAGTTACTAAGTCCCATGATCCTTTTAAGTAAACCGTGTCCCGCCGGTACCGAGGCCCCAACCGAGTGACCGCCTTCCAGGTTAGTGTTGGCGACATAAGGGTCGCAAAAAAGGCCGATGACCTCTGTCTAGTTTAGGGTTTAGGGTTTAGGGTCTGGGGTTTCTGAGTTATATTAAACGGTTTAGGATTTAGGGTTTCGGGTTTACAGTATATGGTCGCAAAAAAGGCCGATGACCTCTGGCTAGGCTTTCTGAGTTCTATATGGGTGGTTGTCAAAATTCGGGTCTCTTGTTGGCTCATTATTATAATACGGCACCTAATATTTAGGGTACCCAAAAAGGGACCCGAACTTTGACAACCACCCATATATTCGGGCTTGGGGTCTTTTAACACAGGGTCCGACCTCTGGCCGGGTTTCTGATTTATAACACACGGTTTAGGGTTTAGGACTAGTATGGACTAGTCATAGAGAGTCTCGGGTGGTTCGCTGGGGTTCGATAGGGTTCTATAGTGCTGGAGGCTTTTGGGCTTTGGGGATGGGGATGGGGGCTTCGGTTTTAGGGAGTCTCTACATCTGGTGGTCACTTGTTGTAGAGATGCAAGAACCTACAGCAGGCAGCTCTCCCTGCCATTTTCTAGTAGATGTTCGTCCTTTTCGGCTAACTTACAAGCCTGTGTCCCTAAACCACGGCTTCTTCTGGCCTCGCACCCAAGTTTGAAGGGTTGGCGGCCAAAGCCCGAAAGCTAAAATGCTGTCCGAAGACCTTGGCAGGGCCAAAACCATGACCCTAAGCCTAAACCTTAAATCCCAATTCCTACATAAACCTTAAACCGCCGCTGGCCGCTTCACCAAGCCCTCGTCCATGAATGCTCAGAAAAGCTTGGGAGGACCTCCAAGTTAGGGTAACGATTCTTAGGCTCTATGAATCAACATAAAGCAAAAAACAAAAATAGTGAACGGCATACAAAAACTGGGAGAGAGATTTAAAACACATATTATAAAGGGATTATCCCAAAAAAATACAGGTTACTATTAGGGATGATAGTATCCCAAAATTAAAAGGTCAAAGGTTAGCTGCCCTGCGTACTGGGTCTTGGCTCCGGGCAGTCTTGCTGTCCCAGGGATCCGGCATGGCACGCAGCGCGGGCACTTAGACTTAGCTTCTAGATCTCTACTTTGAATAGAGAGACTCAAGCTCTCTGGGCTTCCGGGCGAGAGCCTCTAAGTTCGGATTCCGGCGCTGTGGGGATGTGGACTTTGCCGCTATAAGGCCCTGAACGGTAGGTACCCTAAACCCTCCGAGCCCTAAACCGGGTAATTGAAGGTTTCGGGGGAAGCTTTGGGGATTCAGGTTCGGCGAGGGCCCAGGCTTCACCCTCTCCTTGCATGAGGCCGAGACATCTGCAGCAAGAAGCTCTTACGCTTGAACGGTTCAGGAGGGTGCAGGGTCGGATACTCAGCTGGAGATTCAAGCAGACGTTATGATTAATAGGGGGGCCTTAATGATTAGAATTGGGTTTTGGGGCCCAGTATACTATAATTACAAAAAGGAGCCCCCACAATAATATTGGTAATCATTTAGGCCCCTATAGTAGCTTCATGAGGTGGTTTGCGATACTGCCGCCATGACATTGAGGCCTGCTGTATTTGCGTCAGCTTCAATCTCATCAAGAACTCCCGATGGGTTCCTTTCCGACTTCCCCCCCTAAACTCAAAACTCCAAAGCCCTAAACCCTAAACCTTGAACCCTCGGTTGAATTTAAGGTTTAGGGTTTAGGGGTTTAGGGTTTAGGAGGGTTTGTCTGGGATTGAGTTTGCCATAGGAAGGAGGCAGCGAGGAACCCAGAGACGCTGAAGCCAGAAGTCCCAGTACCATGGGACTTAGTGGTTCCTTTAAAGGTACTATAGGGGTCTATAATAAAGGGCTCCTTAATTTGATCCTTAAGGGGATCTATAAGGGTTCTATAATGGAGGATCATGGGATTTAGTAAGTAAGGCTATAAGTACCTTTGTAAGTATAGTTACCCTAATTATAACCCTAGTTACTAGGTCCCAACAGCCCGTGCTCATCAATCCGCAACCCAAATCTGCAGAAACTGCTTTGGGACTCAGGCTGACATAGAGTGATCTAACAGCTTCAGGGGACTTGACACGGAGCCGGAACGCAGACCCTCAGGCGTTACGGTCTCTTTCAAGACCTACTATGAATAAACAGAACCCCTCAATCCTAAGAAGCCCCGCAATTGAGAGCTGTGTCGGCGGCTGGATCTTGGGATGGATCCTTTCTACGAGGAGGATCAGGAGAGCTGATACAGATGGGTTAGAACAAAATGTTTCCATCATCACAACTATCCGCATCCCCCAGCTTGTTCTACGTACAACCACCAACAAACCTTTAAGTATCTGACTCTAAGATACCCTGCATCCTAAAAACCTATACTCTGAACTTCTAAACCTCAAGCACTATAATGGCCTAAATCCCAAGCCTAAATCCTACGAACCGCCCCGAAAGAGCGGAGCGACGCAGAGCTAAGCTGCCCGGAACCTTGTCGAACTTCCTCACATGCAGGCCCTGCTCCTGCAGCTGTGGCGCCTGACCGGGGGAAAGACCAGGACCTTGTTTTTGCTTAACCGAGTTTCTTTTGAGGAGTTCTAGACTAGTTATAGAACGGTATTAGGAGCTGCTATAAAATAAGATACTGTTTAATGCAGTGGCCTCAATAATCACAACAGGTTTCGGGGGGGCTCATTTTTAATATACTATAGAGCCATACAAGGAACCTGAGGTAATCGTATTGGTAGTTAGTTACTTAGGCTTCTTCTGTACTTGGTGGGGATGTGAGCTGCGTCGTCCGAAACTAACAGCCACTTCCCTCGGCACCTCTTTCTGGAGCTGGATCAGCCTCGCAATCGGACAAAGTCTCACAAGCCACACGGTTTAGGATGCAGCGTTTGAGGTGCGGTTTCAGGGTTCAGGGTTCACAGGGCGCGGTTAGGTGGTCTGAGATCAAAGGCAGGCGATCTGCGGTTATTTCGCAATGGCATACGGTGGGAGTGACAGGGATTGGTCTTGACTCCTGATCTATCGGAATCTCCTGCTAATCATGTGCAACTACACGAACCGGAATTCGGAACAAGCACCAGTCAGCAATGTTCAGCAAGCAACTGCACCTTCCCAGTGCCTTTTCGCACCGTTCGTCAGAACTTCGAGAAAGTCTAGAGCCTAGCTGCAATGTTGATATTGAAAGCCGGACCTGTGCTAATCGAAGTCGTCCCAGTCAGGAAGTCTCACACCCGGACGGTTCACATCGTAACCTCCTCGAGGCCATGTGGACATGGTCAAACACTTCCGGTACGAGAAGTCTGTGACGGTGCCATCTCTGCGCTCGGCGTGGAAGCATGGGCTTCCATAAGAGGTCCTTGCAACGTATATGCCACGAACTCCACACCCGATCTTGCTGCTCGCATTCGGATGCCTGTTCAAAACGGACATCATGAAGGCAAAGTCTGAACCCCGCAAGAAAATTCTGTCACAGTGATCAAATCGGAGCTCACCAGCATACTGGTGCAAGAGACGCTGCGCTCTTTCTTGACTGTCCGACACGAAACGTTGCTCCTGCTCCCTCCGCTGCCTCTCTTGCTCTTCCCTCTGCTTGCGCCTCTGTGCTTCTAGTTTTGCTTCGTGAGCCTCCTTCCGCTTCCTGCCAAGCTCCTTTGCCTCGGCCCTGTGTGGCCGTACAGCACGCTTGAGAAAAGCTTGAAAGCATACATCTGCGAGCCGGAGCCAGGCGTCTACCCGATCCTGCGAGCGAATCTCGTATCCACGGGCAGCTGCTTGGCGCAAGGCTAGAAGACATGCCAAGTTGCCACCAGCTCCTGCGATGACAGAGAGCTCTTCGTCTGTGCAGTCCTTAATCGCTGAAGTCTTGCTGTTGATGAGATCGAGCCTGACCAACTGGTCTAGAAGTAAGTCCACCGTCTCCGCACGGAGCCCGAAGCCTCGCAACAAGAAGCTTCGCACCCGGTTGCGCAGAACCTCTACACGTGACAAGGCGGTCAGAGCTTGCAGGCCGTCACGACCAGCAAGATAATGCCGTGGAGTTGGAGTCTGCGCAAGATAATGCCGTAGAGTTGGAGTCTGCTGCTGAGTGCATGTCATTCGTTTGTCTTCACGCAGGATGAGCTGCAAAACCGGATTACGATCGGAGATCCATGGATCTTCCAACAGCTCCTGAACAGAGAAAGACCTCGTGGCAGCTGCTTTAAAACATCGCTTCACGAAGCAAGCGGCCTCTGCTGACATAAGCGGCAACATGTTGGGCCAATTGCCGTTTTGGATGTGAGCAATGAGAGCATAGTGGGGCTCGTAGGGGAAAGCCACAGACGGATCATAAACCTGCTGATCACCTTTAAGCATGACCAAAACGCACACAGCCAGTGCATGCACATCACCGGCATGAGAGAACTCGCCTCGCAAGACAGCGGCAGACATGTACATAGGCGTTCCCTTCAAGCCCGACTGCGAAGTCATGGATTGCTGATGCCTTGCGAGACCAAAATCAGCGAGTTTTGCACCGTGAGCAGTTAGCAGTATGTTCTCAGGCTTGATGTCGCGATGCACCATAGAAATCTCCTGGCCGGAAGCCAAACCTTACTAACCCATAAGGCTCTGGACAGGATGCCTGTTTGTCTAGAGAAAACCAGCACAGCGCGGATCTAAAACTTGACAGCCCGAAACCTCAATCCATAAACCACTACACCCCCAAACGCGAACCCTAAACTACAAACCCATCTCCTGTGCATGGCGCAGGGCGCGGAGAACATCCAGAACTACCTCAGCGACCCGGTCTTCGGTCATGGCGCCATGCTTCGCAAGATACTCTGCCACAGAGCCTGAGGGAAGAGGAGCTGAACCCTGAACTGCCTACCTTTCTGGGGCTCCTTCTTATGATTTCCTTGCACTTCGTCCTCAAAATGGCAGGTCTTGTTTAGGGCTTTAGGATGACTTTCAAAACATCAGGATTATTCGGGGCGTCTGTGGAGGCTTCAGGCTACTGGGACTCGCGGACTTTTGGTTCATGGTGAAGCTAAACTCTTGAACCTTAAACTATAATCAACTTTTAAAGCATAGGGCCATAGGAAACTAAAGCCCTGCCCTTCTAGACGATGGCCGTCAAGGTAGGACTCAGGAGTCTGAAGCGAGCCTGAAGTTTGGATCCGCTCCCCCCACCGACCTGCCTTGCGGCATAGCTTCTAGGACCAGCCAGGTGTAGCCACGGTGCTTGACAACGTGATGAAGCGTCACCACTTGAGGGCAGTCTGACATTTGCCGCAGAGCAGCTTCCTCCTTGGCTGCCAGGGCTGTTGTGCTCACACGCTTCACGGCAACCGCCTCGCCCGACATGTCACCGAGGAAGATGTCAGCTTGACCGCCGGCACCGATCGGTTTGTCCAAGAATACCATGATCTTAGTCTTGGAACCCTCGCCTTCAACTGGAAGGATTTCAATCAGCCCTCGTTGCGAAGCCCACTGGCGCAAGGCCGTCTTCAGCTGCCCCTTACGCAGCGCGGGGATGCTCTGCGTCATAAAAAACTCGTCTGCTGCCGCATCGAGATCGCTTGGAGAAAGCAGCTCGAGGTCTGATACTGACAGGTCTTGCTGGGCGGCACTTTCCAAGAAGGCACCCCACAGAGACGAGTCGTATGCTTCCCAAGCACTTGGTGCTGATTCCATGAAGGATCGCAGTTCCACGGGGGAAGTCTAAGGACCTGCGATGCAGGTCAGATCGTAGAGGTTTTGAGCACTGGTGTCGCCAGAAAGGTCCACGGAGCCGTTGCAGAAAAAGGTGATGCACTCCGTATGGTTCTGCTTCAGGAATCATGCAAACACAAAGTAACGCAAAAACCGCTGGCATGCAAATGCTGAGGTGCAGACTCCTTCTGCACATCGCGCAGGCGCATGAACTCGTCCTCTGTACGCCTCTCCAGCAGCGTCACAAGCGCAATTAGCACGTTCAAGCCCGAAGCCTCCAGTCTTTCGGCCTACGGCCGGCCCAAAACCCCAAAACTCCAAAATTCTTACACCCCAAACCTCAAAAGGCCCAAAAGATGAAACATAAAACCCACAACCCCAAGGAGGCCTCACAAGCTCGGCTTCTGTCCGCTGAGCAGCCGCGGTGCTTCGCTCGACCTGCTGAGAGTCCTAGCTCTTTTGAGTCTTCGGACTAAGTGATGAGGTTTGTTGTAGGTATTGTTTGCTCCGTTTTGCTCCCGCTCAATCCTCGTGTTTCCGTTCAGAGGGAATATAGGGTTTAGGGTTCAGGGTTTAGGGTTTAAGCGTGTCTTGCTTTTGTACAGGGCTGGGCAAGGGTTGTTAGATAGGTTCTATATGGCTTCTGTATGGGTTCTTATTATGCTACATCATAAGGCTTTACAAGCGCTTACTAGAGGTTCCGGCTGTGGGTTTAAGTTTGCGGCTTCGGCAGCAAGAGTTTATAAGGGTCTGTAAGGATTTCGAGGTAAGGCTTGCATCGATAAGAATGTATTATTAGAAACCTTTATTGCAATGCTTCTTAGCAGTAGGAACAGTCACACTAAGGCTGACAAACAGATATACAGACTAGAGAAAACTGTAGACGTTCACTCAAACATGTAATGGTAAGAAACTCTGCCTTCACCTACAAAAACCAACTTTCTTAGGGCTCCTTATCATGATCCCTTTATATAAGTAGGTCTTCGTGGCTGTATTTCGAGGTCAACCCTAAACGGCCATCTCCTCTTGACTGCCCCAGCTTGGTCCCCGAGCCTCTTGCTGCAGTGCCCTGCAACGGTCGTGAGCTTCCGCAAGCTTCTCCTGGCTTCAGGCGAGCCTAGGGTTTGGGGTTCTTGGGCCATTAAACAGAGGACTCTTCTGAGCTTCTTTTGTATTTCGGGCTCAGGGTTTCGTGTTTAGGGTTTAGTGCTTAGAGGGGCTGTTATGTATTGAGGATTCAAGCTCTTACTGTCACTTTGCATTATGACGCTCACCGTCAGGGAATCAACATGGGTGGTTGTCAAAATTATGGCCCCTTTTTGGGTACCCTGAATATTCGGTGCCGTATTATAATAAGGACCCAAAAAGGGACCCCAATTTTGACAACCACCCACATAGTAATCGCGGCGGCTGTGGTATTGCGAAATCCAGACTGTGGGGCTGAATGTGTCTAGGGCGTCTGCTATTCAAGGGTCATACATAATCTAGGGCCCTTTGTAATCAGAATAGGGTTTGGGGGCCCATGATACTATAGACGTGATAAGGAATCCACAAGTTGGCATCGGCAATTATAAAGAGGCCCCTGTACTAGAGGTTTGGTTAGGGTTGATGATATAACTCCTGCATTTCCCATAACAAGGAAAACACCATAATTCCCATAGTCTAGGGACCTTAACGTAATGCAGGATTTATATCATCAACCGATTGGGAGTTTGGGCTGAAGGTTTGGTGTGCTAGAGGATCAGACCTGAAACAGGCCGAAAGTTTTTCGGAGATTTGAAGCTTTACACCGAGTTTTTAGGAATGCGGGGCTTAGGGGTTCTGTACCGCATTTTTCTGATTCGGAGTTTTATGGCCTATACCTCATACACCCCGGGGCTTATAAACAGAAGTCATAGAGGAGCCCAAAACATGTATGTCATTGTGCGTTAGGGGCCTCTGGCACTCTTGGGCTTGGGACCAAGATCCCAAGGCTCTGCAGCTTCCCTGCACTTAGGTTTCGGGTTGCGGGGGTTGGCGATGCGGGGTCTTGTTCATGCTGCAGTGTATGATGGAAACCCTAACTTACATGGTGAGGTTACAACCCCAGAAACGGTCAACTTTCAGATCCATAGTCGTAATACTCTGCCAAAGTGTAAAGTGCACTCATTCAGCTATACAAAGCCATAAAAATACACCCTCAACCCTTAAACCCTAAACCCCCGAGCCCTAAAGCCCTACGTAAAGCCCTAAACCCCCAAAATCTATAGATCCCTTAACGGAATCCTCATAGTACCCTCTCAAGGAACCCCTGAAGTCCAACCCTCAACCCTAAAGCCTACAGCCTAAAGCCCTACAACCTACACCCTAAACCCTGAAACCTAAGCCCTAAACCCTAAACCCCCTAACCCCTATAGAACCCTTGTACTACCCTTTAGTAGCATTTACAGGAATCCTAAAACCCTAAACCCCCTAAACCCTACAGATCCCTTGTACTACCCTTTAGTAGCATTTACAGGAACCCTAAAACCCTAAACCCTACAGATCCCTTGTAGGACCCTTTAGTACCGTTCACAGGATTCCTAAAACCCTAAGCCCCGGGCCTTTTGGAGGCTCCGCAGCTCGGATTTCCAGGCCGCCAAGTAGCGGCAAAGCCCAGCGCGTCCTGGAGCGACGCGAGTTTTCTTGCTGTGGTCCAAAGGGGAATAGGGGGTTTAGGGTTTAGGGCTTAGGGTTTAAGGTTTAGGGTTTCGGGTGTAGGTTCTAGGGCTGTAGGCTTTAGGGTTGAGGGTTGGACTTCAAGGGTTCCTTGAGGGGGTACTATGAGGGTTCCGTTAAGGGATGTATAGCTGTGGTTGTACTGAAGGCTTCCCATATGCGATCATCAATGCGCAATGGTACCATAACCTGCATGGAAGGGTAACTATCACACTTCCAACAAGGCAAGTAGGGTTTAGGAGATCAGGGTTTAGGAGATCAGGGTTTAGGAGAGTAGGGTTAGGAGATGAGGGTTAAGGGCGCAGGCTCCCAAACCCTAAACCAAAAAAAAGGTTCCGGGCTTGAGTTTCGAGTTCGGGATTTGGGGTTTGGGCTTCAGGGTTTCGGGGCTCAAAGGTTCGACATGCCGAAAAACTGGTGTCTCATTTGAAGTTACCATGACAAGGATCTGTAGGCAACCTTACAATACCCCATCTAGAACCCTCTAAAGGATGTCTCATAGTACCCCTTGACGGATAATTAGAACCCTTTGAAGTATGCCTTACAAACCCCTTTCAAGGATACTTTATAGAACCCTTTCATGGATGCCTTAATTATACAACGTTATGAAAGAACCGCATAGTAACCCTGAAAGGAATCCCAAAGCCCTCCGAAGATCTCTGCATCGCAGCGGCTGCGCTGGTGTCGAAGAGATCGGCCCAGCGCCTCGGCGCCGAGAAGAGGCGGGGGGGGGTGTCAGGGTATAGGTTATAGGGTTCAGAGTATAAGGTTTTGGGGTTAGGGTCTGGGGTTTCAGCGTTAAGGGTTTTAGGGTTAGGGTTACACAGGGGCGGTAGAACGGAACAAGCAATTCCGAGCACTGCTCTAAGCTGAACCCTCAACCCCGAAAGGGTTTAGGGTTTTCGGTTTAGGGTATCCCAATGCTTCCAAACACCGTAAGGCGACTTAAAGCAATGGTCGCAATACTCTTGGAAGTTGGTAGATCGTTTCTGCACGAGGAGTCAATCTTCAATCTCTAGGTTCCTGGGTAAGCCTTTATAACAAGGGTATCCTTTTTCGTTCTATTCTGTTTTAATAAAGGAACCCAAAAAGACGAAAGGCAAAAGTGCGTGGGGGATTGATCTCGACTTGGTTGCTGCTCTCCCCACCAGAGCTGTAATGAATGTAGGTGTGGCTGGCTAGCACTCTCCACAGACTGGACCCTGTCTCTCCCTCTTACTTCCACACGTGCGATCCTATGCAGGCAGAACCGGCGGCCGTTCCTTTTGCACTCACTGCCGGCGGCGGTTCGTCTGTGCAACGGGATAGCTCTGATTGCTCAGGATAGAAGACACATATAGCACTTAGCTATGGGCATTGACTTGAGCCAAACGTTGCGTTGGCGGTCACATAGAAAGGTAAAGACGAGGGATGCGTAGCATGCCCCTAGAGTCGAGGGACGCGTAGCGTGCCCCCTTCTCCTGCACTTTACACGGTCTTGCTCACAGCTCTTATAGTGACACCTTAGAACTTGACAAGGCATCGCAGTCCGTTCGCACCCCCCATGAGTTGCGTCTCCGACGCTGCTCACCCGGAAGATGGCACGATAGGACAGAAGAAAATTCCGCCGCAACGTTGACATTGAAAATCAGAGCTTTGCATCCCAATTAGAAACGTTGTGACACTCATCTACGTCAGTAACGATCCCCTGAAATGACAAACGAATCAGGCGTCACCGAAGAAAGAAGCATTCGCGATGGCATTCCACGGGCGAAGCTCAGAGGTCACGAACTGATAGGCGAGGAAGATCAGGCGTTGTCTCGCCACCATCTTCGCGTTGACGTAGGATCGCGGTCCCAGGGCCGGAGGTTCTCCTCTGGATACTGGTTCCTCGGCTTTCCTTTGTCCTTGCCTTTGTTTCGGCCTTTGGCGGCGATGTAGTCGTGGTAGGAATTGGTGTTCCAGCCACCATGTTGCTCGCCTCCGGTTCTTCCACGCCCTTTTGAAGGTCCCTTGGATGAAGAAGCGCTTTCACGTTCCTCCGTAGTGACAGGCGTGTCCAGGATGGATGTACCACCTGGAGGAAGATAGTCAGCGGCCGAAATGTGGTGTAGGGCTTCCGTACGCTTGGTCGTCGGGTTTTGCTGTCTCTCAGCCTTGGATCTGTTCAATCTGTCCATGAAATGCGCAGGCATTTGCACACTGTGGTCCACCAGCAAGCCGATGGTCTGGACTGACTGATCAGAATGAGTCAGCAGAATACCGACGGGGTCGATGTACAAGAAGTCCACTGGTCCAGTTGGCGT